GATGAACCCAAGATGGCGTTGTGTTGTTTTCAATGGCCTGTGCTCATTGGTGCGAAATGCCAAAAAAGTTTTTTTCTTCCACATCACTTCTTGAATATTGGCCTAACCCTGCCCAAAATGTGATGTCAGAAACATGCATTTCAAACCAATCAGAGCAATAGCTGCTAAAGCGGAGCAAGCGCAGGTTCTAGGCTAAATCTGACAAAGTGCACATTTAGGCACTTTGACAATTTAAAATGTATGCATTATTGATTCATTTTTTACTTTTAACTATGTTATAATGTTTTCCCTCAGCAAAATGTATATATTGTGCTTTGTTTCCTTCCATTCTTATATGCTTACCTATTTATCATATACTTATCACATATTTATATCATTTGGATTATTTGAACTCCCCCCCGAACTGCCACCTTACCGTGGTGGGGGAGTTTGCGTACCCGAATGATCCTAGGAGCTATGTTGCCCGGGGCTTCATGCCCCTGGTAGGGTCTCCCATGGCAAACAGATCCTAGGTGACGGGGCAGACTAAGAGCAGTTCATAAAACCCACATGAACAGTTTAATATCGAGGACCGTGACGTTGCCCGGTATGGCGCAGCCGGGGCCCCACCCTGGAGCCAGGCCTGGGGTTGGGGCTCGAATGCGAGCGCCTGGTGGCCGGGCCTTTGCCCACGGGGCCCGGCCGGGCTCAGCCCGAAAGGACGACGTGGGTCCACCCTCCTGTGGGCTCACCACCCGCAGAGGGGTTCATAGGGGTCGGGTGCATAGAGGACTGGGCGGCGGTCGGGAACGGGTGTCCCGACGGCCTGGTCCGCACACACAGCATCTGGCTGTGGCGACGTGGAATGTCACCTCGCTGGGGGGGAAGGAGCCTGAGCTTGTGCGGGAGGTTGAGAGATACCGGCTAGATATAGTCGGGCTCACTTCTACGCACAGCTTGGGCTCTGGTACCCAACTCCTTGAAGGGGGTTGGACCCTCCATTTCTCTGGCGTTGCCCACGGGGAGCGGCGGCGAGCTGGTGTGGGCTTGCTTATAGCCCCACAGCTCAGCCGCCACGTGTTGGAGTTTACCCCGGTGAACGAGAGGGTCGTGTCCCTGCGCCTTCGGGTCGGGGACAGGTCTCTCACTGTGGTGTCGGCCTACGGGCCGAACAGCAGTGTAGAGTACCCGGCCTTCTTGGAGTCCCTGGGAGGGGTACTGGACAGTGCACCGACTGGGAACTCCGTTGTTCTACTGGGGGACTTCAACGCCCACGTGGGCAACGCCAGTGACACCTGGAGAGGGGTGATCAGGAGGAACGGCCTCCCCAATCTGAACCCGAGCGGTGTTTTGTTATTGGACTTCTGTGCTAGTCACAGTTTGTCCATAACAAACACCATGTTCGAGCACAAGGGTGTCCATAAGTGCACGTGGCACCAGGACACCCTAGGTCGGAGGTCGATGATCGACTTTGTTGTCGTGTCATCTGACCTCCGGCCGCGTGTCTTGGACACTCGGGTGAAGAGAGGGGCTGAGCTGTCAACCGATCACCACCTGGTTGTGAGTTGGATCCGCTGGCAGAGGAGGAAGCCGGAGGGACCTGGCAGGCCCAAGCGTATTGAGAGGGTCTGTTGGGAATGTCTGGCAGAGCCCTCTGTCAGGGGGATCTTCAACTCACACCTCCGGGAGGACTTCTCCCAGATTCCGGGGGAGGCTGGAGACATGGAGTCCGAGTGGGCTATGTTCTCAGCCTCCATTGTCAATGCGGCCGCTCGTAGCTGTGGGCGTAAGGTCTGTGATGCCTGTCGAGGCGGCAATCCCCGAACCCGGTGGTGGACACCGGAAGTAAGGGATGCCGTCAGGCTGAAGAAGGAGTCCTATCGGGCCTTGCTGGCTCATGGGACTCCTGAGGCAGCTGACAGGTACCGGCGGGCCAAGCGTGCTGCAGCCCGTGCGGTCGCAGAGGCAAAAACTCGGAGCTGGGAGGAGTTCGGGGAGGCCATGGAGGAGGACTATCGGACGGCCTCAAAGAAATTCTGGCAAACCGTCCGGCGCCTTAGGAGGGGAAAGCAGTTCTTCACCAACACTGTTTACAGTGCGGGGGGAGAGCTGTTGACCTTGACTGGGGATGTTGTCGGGCGGTGGAAGGAATACTTTGAGGATCTCCTCAATCCCAACGTCACGTCTTCCGAGGAGGAAGCAGAGGCTGGAGACTCAGAGGTGGACTCATCCATCACCCTGGCTGAAGTCACCGAGGTGGTTGGCAAACTCCTTGGTGGCAAGGCTCCGGGGGTGGATGAGATCCGTCCTGAGTACCTTAAGTCTCTGGATGTTGTGGGGCTGTCTTGGCTGACACGCCTTTGCAACATCGCATGGCGGTTGGGGACAGTGCCTCTGGACTGGCAAACCGGGGTGGTGGTCCCTCTGTATAAGAAGGGGGACCGGAGGGTGTGTTCCAATTACAGGGGAATCACACTCCTCAGCCTTCCCGGTAAGGTCTATGCCAGGGTACTGGAGAGGAGAATCCGGTCGATAGTCGAACCTCGGATTCAGGAGGAGCAGTGTGGTTTTCGTCCTGGCCGTGGAACACTGGACCAGCTCTACACTCTCCATCGGGTGCTTGAGGGTTCATGGGAGTTTGCCCAACCAGTCCACATGTGCTTTGTGGACTTGGAGAAGGCATTCGACCGTGTCCCTCGTGGTGTCCTGTGGGGGGTGCTCTGGGAGTATGGGGTCCGGGGCCCTTTGCTAAGGGCTGTCTGGTCCCTGTATGCCCGGAGCAGGAGCTGTGTTCGCATTGCCGGCAGTAAGTCAGACCTGTTCCCGGTGCATGTTGGACTCCGCCAGGGCTGCCCTTTGTCACCGGTTCTGTTCATTGTGTTTATGGACAGAATTTCTAGGCGCAGTCAGGGGTCGGAGGGGGTCCGGTTTGGGGACCACAGGATCTCATCTCTGCTGTTCGCAGATGATGTTGTCCTGATGGCTTCATCGAACCAGGACCTGCAATGTGCACTGGGGCGGTTTGCAGCCGAGTGTGAAGCGGCTGGGATGAAGATCAGCTCCTCCAAATCTGAGGCCATGGTTCTCAACCGGAAAAAGGTGGCTTGCCCTCTCCGGGTGGGTGGAGAGTCCTTGCCTCAAGTGGAGGAGTTCAAGTATCTCGGGGTCTTGTTCACGAGTGAGGGAAGGACGGAACGTGAGATTGACAGGCGGATCGGTGCAGCGTCGGCAGTGATGCGGTCGCTGTATCGGACCGTTGTGGTGAAGAGAGAGCTGAGTCGAAAGGCGAAGCTCTCGATTTACCGGTCAATCTACGTTCCTACCCTCACCTATGGTCATTAGCTCTGGGTAATGACCGAAAGGACGAGATCGCGGATACAAGCGGCCGAAATGAGTTTCCTCCGCAGGGTGGCTGGGCGCTCCCTTAGAGATAGGGTGAGGAGCTCAGTCACACGGGAGGAGCTCGGAGTAGAGCCGCTGCTCCTCCACGTCGAGAGGAGCCAGTTGAGGTGGCTCGGGCATCTGTTTCGGATGCCTCCTGGACGCCTCCCTCGGGAGGTGTTCTGGGCATGTCCCACCGGGAGGAGGCCACGGGGAAGACCCAGGACACGTTGGAGGGACTATGTCTCTCGGCTGGCCTGGGAACGCCTCGGGATCCCCCTGGAAGAGCTGGAGGACGTGTGTGTGGAGAGGGAAGTCTGGGAGGCCCTCCTCAGACTGTTGCCCCCGCGACCCAACCTTGGATAAGCGGAAGAAAATGGATGGATGGATGGATGGATTATTTGAAATTCACATTCATTTTTGCATCTACACAATTTAAGTGTTAGCTGCTATTGTTACCTGCTACCTTGTCCAAATCCAGTAGCTTTACTCTGCAGTGGTGTAGGAGTAGTGGTGTTTGTGGTTTTGTTTTTGTTTTCCTAAAGGCAGAACTTGTTGAGCAGTGGTGGGAGTAATGCTCTACAGAAGCAATGGCACTGAATTCAAAATTAAAAGAATGGCACTGAATTCAAAATTAAAAGAAGATTGCTTTGGTTAAATCTTTGTATGGACAGAATCAGTGGATGGAATCTTTTAGTCAAGAACTTAAACATTTTTAGCATTGCTTGTAATGCACTTTGTTCCGAAACAGCAGGTTGTAATGTACATTCACACATGGACGTCTTTACTATATGCTAATAAATTCCTGTGTGGAGCCATTCTCAGCTGTCTCCTCTTACAGCTTTTGTTACTCGTTTTGCTGCGTGTGCATTTATTGTACATATGTTTTATAGCTGTAGAGTTTCCAGTTGTCAGGCGTCACAGCAGGCCATCCACACTTCACTCCTTTAGACGCTTTGTCTTCATATAGACCACACAGGAGCTGCTCAGAAGAAGTTGGTTCTGCTGGCTTCTATTTAAACTTTTACGGTAGAAGACAGCATTTAAGAGGAAATGTGCTTAGAAGTTAGAAACAATGTGGTTTGAGTATGTCATTTGGTTTCAAGGAAAACTGTGGCTAAAGTAAAAGTTCACATGACATCATTATCCCTGGTTGCTGTGCTAATTATAAGGCAAGATGTTAAGAAGATGTACTATGACTCACTTCTGCCCACACCTTGGTGCTGTTTTGGCTCCAGTTTCCTCAGACACCACATAAGCTTCTGCACCAGTATGGATAGCACTTCAACTTTGACCTGTTTTGAACCCCAAGATGCACTTTGCATTTGCCAAACTTCACAGGGCCATTTTTCATCATCTCTCCTCCACACTTGGAGGGGGTAAGCTCCTACTGCAGAGCTGCCTTGGGGCTGATCAACAGTAATGTGGCTCCCAATCTCACTCACCAGGTTCAACACTCTTGATAGATTTATTCTTATAATATGCTACAGTTCTACTGTTTTCTTCTATTATGCCAGTCTAATTTGAAAAATTGGGGATCAGAACTGAGTAGATATGCGTAATGATTAGGGCATCACTTTGAGCAGTTTTATTTAATTTGTTTAATTAGTTTTCATTCCCCTTTTTGTTTTGCCCTTTAGCCATGACCACCAGTCTCTTGTGGAGGGTCCGGTGTTGGTTGATTCTGCTATGCACCTTGTCAGGATGTGGTTTTGGGGATGAGCACCCAGGGGCCCCCGCTCCGGAGCAGGGAGTCACCTTCAGCCATGTCTATAAAATTGACATCCCAGCCGCGGGGTCCTCTTGTAAACTCGAGCCCCTCTCCACAGACGATAAAACAGGTCATTAAAACACATATAAAGACATGTTGTGAAAAGTAGCATTACACTAATATTCTAATACTCTGTCATTGTGTTGTAGAGCTTCAATCAGGGACGACAACAACTGGAGATAATGATATCATCTTTAGACATAACATCAAGCTGCAGACACCCAAATGTGACTGTGAAGAGTCTGAGAGCTTCAAATCACTGCTGTACCGAGTCAATGGGCTGGAAGAGGAGGTCAACTATCTGAAGACCCAATGTGATAAGGGGTGCTGTGGAAAAGCTACAGGTGCAATGGCTCATACATGTTTTCCAACAATTATTTTTATAGTTACTGATTGACTTTCTAAATTTGAACTAAAGTAGAGAGACAGAAGGGGAAAATGTGTTGCAAATATCAACAAATTGCATGGAACCACCCATACTCACCAAGGCTTAGACAATGGTCTCGCAAAAGGGAGATGGAGAAGTGGCTGGTGTTTTTGCGGCTGTGATAGACTTCGGAGACATAATTGGAAGAACAGGATGACTTTTGGATATTTTACCAAATAAATGATTAATTTATATAGCAGTTTTCCACCTTGAAGGAAAACTGCTCAGGCTCAGATTGAGGTGGGTTAAGTGTCTTGCATTCATCTATCTGAACTGGAATCACACTGCCAAGCTGTGGGTCATTGAATCTGAGTGCTCTATCAGTGATGTTTATGTCAAGAGTAGGATTTGAACCACCTACCTTCGGATCAGTGGACAAACACCAACTGAGCTACTGTCGCTCCCCAACTTAGGCAAAAGAATAAAAAACTATCTATCTATACAATAAATATGTATAAATCTACTTAATTTTATCTGTTACGAAAGTTTAGAATTTAGGAATTCTTTAAGGTACACTCTCTACCAGTTTATGTGGACCTTTAAACCTTAACCAGTAATCTCTTCTTTGCTGCACTGGTCCTCAAGGTGTGGACACTAGCTGCAGTGGCCATGGCACGTACCAGCACGACTCCTGCAGCTGCCAGTGTGACCCGGGCTGGGAGGGGCCTGACTGCTCCGTATCCACCTGCCCCGACGATTGCAACGATAATGGGCGCTGCGTGGACGGAAAGTGCGTGTGTCTCCAGGGTTACACTGGCCACGACTGTAGCCAAGCGGCCTGTCCCGACAACTGCAATGATAAGGGTCATTGTGTGGACGGCAAGTGTGTGTGTTTCCCCCACTTCACCGGAGAAGACTGCAGTGTCCAGAGGTGTCCCAACGACTGCATCGGCAACGGCAAGTGTGTGGACGGGAAGTGTGTCTGTGATGAAGGCTTCTTCGGGGATGACTGCTCCCTAGGTAAGCAAGTTGTTGTTCATATCATAAAATTATAACAAAATGCCTCTCTTTTTTTGATTAAAAAGTTTGCATCTTATTGTAACATCCACAAAACATATGAATCACTGTTGTGACCTCATTCCGAAGGTTAGTTTAAACTTCTAAACACATTATATAGGTGCTTAATAATAACAAGTGGCAGAAAAATGCTTGGCCCAGTATTATTCTCCTCTTTATGAGAGAAAGGCTATAATTTTACCTTAACAAATCTTGCTACAATTTGCCCTGTGCTTTGTACTTCTCATGGGACAGTGCTATGACTTGAAGCTTTTTTAAAGGCGTCTGTAAACAACACTGTAAATATTAGCTTAACTCTACTTAAAACAATCTTTTTAAAACAAGCTTTGGGTCCTATAAATGCAATACTTTCCCCAGTGGTCCATTAGGGCTCGCATGAGGGTTATAATAGCTCAGTATTTTCATGAGGGCCACTACCTGAAATGACCACTTACATCGTCATCTTCACATAGCCATGGTGACATTTTAAAGGTTATTGAAATAAAAAAAAATAAAAAATTGCTTTTAGTTAAGTTGTGTTTTTTGATTTTCTGTCAGACGTTGTCTCTGCAAATGAACTGCCTTATGTAACAAAAATATAAACTTTGTCTATATGCCTACACCTAACCTTTTTTAAATGCTTAAACTGTCATCTATATCATAATCTGTATGTATGTTTTTATTGAAATTGCACTGTTTAACATTTCTAGTGGAGGGCTCGCCACCTGCTTATCACCATGAAAATGTAATTCCTTTAAACCTATGTATCATGAGGGAGACAAGCAGGCTATAGAACTTCGCTACAATTCAGATCGTAGAAAGTCTCCCCTATTCACAGAAGGAATTATTGTATTTTTGAGCAATAGAAACAGCTGTAATGAATAATAATAAACAAGTACGTTTAAAACCATACCATGGAACATTCCAGGGAAAGCAGTAACATTTACATGGAGACAAGTAGATAGCGGCCCTTCCAATAGAAAAGTTGCGCACTGCACCTTTAAATTATGCCTCTCATATATTATCTAAATCCATGAAAACACTAACTTTGAAAAAGTGCAAAACTCGCAGTTGAAAATGTCAATGTTGAAAAGTCTGTTCTGAAGTCAAAAGTCTTCTGTGAGTGTATGAGGAAAGATAAACACAGGTCGAAGCCTTCAAAATAATGGCTTGAGTGCTTCATCTCTTCTTACTGTAACTGGGTTTAGAATAAAGTAAGCTTTGATGTAACTGCCATTTGAGCAGGTATCCTTATGACCCTGTATACCTCAGTAAGACATAACCAGCCTTTCGGACAAATCATCTCTGAGACCTCTGTATGTCACATCAAAGACACATCCATTGCTTTTAAACACTGCTTTCTCTGTGCACCTGTAACTGTACCTGCACCGGGAGCACTGCAAAAATCACATTTTCCAGCAATTTGGGGTCAGACAAGCAGAAAGGTGAGGAACAGCTGCCAGGCATGGCACTTTATTTGGCTGAGTTCACTAAGAGATTGCGACAGTTGTGTTTAGGTGGATCGCTCAACATTTTCCTATGGTCAAAGTTCAAATTCAGCCAAGGACATCCAGAAGATTTTGTATTAAAAGTTATCTGTAGGGGTGGAGATTTGTGGGTTGCCTATAAAACCGCTCGTGGCTGGTCTGTCTTTAACCATATTGCTCAGTGTGTAGGTGCTTCTGAACTCTTGCCAATGTCAATACAGGCAACGTGTCAAGGGGAGGAGAAGAGAGGGTAGGAGGATATAAAAAAGCATACATTGTGTTGATTTTAGTTTGTAACAATAATAGATGTAATAAGCACCTGGTAGAGATAGCAGCAAAGCAAAGCATTCTAAGTTGTATTTATTTTTCATGACCAGTTTCCATTTCAGCGCCTGTATGATAGATGTCAATCCTCTCCGCAGGTGATGATGTGAGGGGGGAAAAAAATTATATTTGGTACATCCAGTGCACTTCTAATAAAGTCCCAACATTAAAGGCAGATGGCGTGTGGGCAAGAATTTCTACTGAAAATACCAAAGTCATATAAAGCAAACAAGGCCCCGTATTGGAAAAGCTAGACTGATCAAACGCAGGTTGGTCATTAAAAGTGGTCACAGTAGCTTTGGACATGGACTATTAACATGAGACAGATGTAGGGGATTTGTGGTTATTACTGCAGCCTTACACATTACCTTTTATGTTAAACACTCATATAGTACAATATATCCTGGGTTAAACCTCAGGCTAGGCAAAAGCTGTGCTCAGTTCAATATCATATTGAACCAAAAATATATAAATTGCTTGACTAAGTTTCATATTTAAAGCAGGCCTATTCTGCAAAATCGACTTTTGAGAGCTTTTAACCATGTTATAGTTGTTTGCCCTCACAATTTACTCACCCGAAATTGTATTTTTGAATGTTTTGTGCATGTTTGAGCTATCTTTAATAGTTTATTTTCAAGACGCCATATTGCAGATCAATCCTCTTTTTCACCGCCTCTGCCATATGCTCACTGCTCTGTACTTACTTCATTCTCCAATTTTATTTTCGTAATCAGTGATACGCAGACTTGTTTCATTATTGAGTTATTTTAGATTTATAATGTGCTACATAATGATCCACTGGTGTCATAGATTATACACAGGCACAGTAGGTCTTCTTTAATTATTAATTCAAACTTAAATAGTCTATTACCATTACTATATCAGAACTTAAACTTATTTGTAAATGTATTTATTCATGTATATCTTTTACCCTGTCCAGGATTATCTCACTGGGCGATTATTCTACTTCTGATTTCAAATTCACTACAAGTCCTACTACTTTACCAGAATTATTATAATCTTCATTTCCTCCTAACATCTAGTTATTTTGTTTTTCTTCCACAAACAGTTATTTCCATCTACAGACGCAATCCTTTTTATGTATTAATTTATTCCCCACCACTCCTCGCATAGACGCCTGACAAGAGGAGGTTGTTGATGCTCGTGTCTGGAGTAGCATCAGGGGGATATTAGCGTTTGGTGGGTGGAAAACTGCCCATGCTGCTCCGAGAGAGAAAAAACAGTGGACTTCCTGGTTGGACCTTGTGGATATGGCATTTAGAGCTGATGTGAATACCTTCCCAGGTCCTCCACTATAATGCATGTTTCTCCTGTTCCCTGGAAACCTGTGCTTAACTTTAAATCTACCAGCAGCATATCGTCATGGCCACAAAGTGCTCTAGTTGTTTGCGTGCTGGTCTGTGTTTTGGCTGATGTTGCGTTACCCTACACCCGTTAGACCATATACCCTAGCTATGTTTTTCCATCTTCTCAGTTAGAGGTTGTTACTGTCGATGTCAAAAAGGTGACCACAGAACAGCTTTTTTCTGTTTAGATTGCTACTGGAGTGAATATTACTGCATTTAATACACTGTTTTTCTTACACCAAATTGTTTTTACTACCATCCAAGCAGCAATTTTTGTCACTTATCAGATCAAGCTTAAGCTATAATGGCAAACTTTCTTCTATAACTGTAAATTTCTCCCTTTTACAGTAAGTGCTGCTTATGGCAAAAACAGATTGCAGAAATTTTCAAATAAATTGTATGGCAATTTGTAGCATCTGAAATTGGGAAGAACCAGTACAGAGTTTAGTAAAAGGGCTCATATTGCACTTTTTTCTGATCTATGTTATAATGTTGTTTCCTCAACAAAAACAGGCCTGGAGTTGTGTTTTGTTTCATCCACACACTTTTACCACACAAACTCTGCATATTTAGGCAGAGTCCTTATCTCACTATATTTTTAAACTCCATACACCTTCACTAGAGTTATTTGGATATTTGTCTGTCTCTAAAGAAGCTAAAAGGGAATGTTGTTAACTTCAAAAAAACTACCACTACATGACATCACAAGGTGGAATAGAGCACTCTGAGCTTTGGTAATGTAGCTAGACTAATAATAAAGGGTTACTCAAACATGTGTGAATGAAACAAAACACAACTCCAAGTATGTTTCTGATGAGGTAACAACATTATAACATGGCTTAAAACTCACAAGAGTCAGTTTTGCCTAATACTTCTGCAACACTTTATCATTTTATTACTGTAGAGGAAAACTATGAGTATACTATCCCTGAAGCCAAAAACTACCATTACTTCAGTGTAGTATAGTTACTATACTGGATATCAGACAAAAATGAATGGACTGGATAACAAATGTCTTGAATATGAATTAGAGAATACATTTTCAGATGTCTTTTGCAACTGCATAACCTGTTTCTGGTGTGTCTTAACAGTGATGGGCCCAAAAGGTTTACGTCTGGTCACAGTGACTGATGTGTCTCTGCTGGTGGAGTGGGAGCACGTGAGAGGAGCAGAGCACTACATCCTGACTCACCAACCTAAAGACGACGAGGGGGCTCTCAAAAAGGCATGTTCATGTTTTTTAGTTTTTGTTTTTTTTTAAGGTTAGTTTATCTGCCATTTGTAGTTAAAAACACATTGGAAAAACATGCGTAAAACGGTCAAAGTGCACCATAAGACATTAAAAACAACCACATAAACAAACATAAATAGACAGATAATAGATAATACACAATAGATATTACAAACGACATATGACACTGTGAAATAAAAAAGTTACAAACATTAAGGAGCTAAAATATGTCTTTTTGTGTGTCTTTTTGCAGGTTCAAATTCCCAACACTGAGAACTCACACCTCATCACAGGTCTAACTCCGGGGGTCACTTACATAGTCGATGTCTATGCTGTCATCAAAGAAGTTCAGAGTGAATCAGACAAGATAGAAGCCACAACTGGTTTGTATAGAGTTGTAATATGCATGTCTAAAGGAATATATGGCCAAATATTTTGTAATGGGGCATGTTAAGTTTGCACTAAAACTTAACAATACTTTATGACTAAGAACTAAATAGCAGCACTTGTTTGGTTTGGTTACCATGGACTCTGTGGGTGGGATGTATATAGTAAGTTTTAACAACTTCAAAAATAATTTTCTTGGATGACAATAAGGTTATACTGTGATGTCTAGGTAAGATTTATGAATGAAAGGTTAACAAACTCTCAATTCTTACAGCTCCAGTGGGATATACACAGTGGATAAAACACAAAATCTGTCTTTTCCTTTTGTTTATATGCCATCCTCTGACATTTTCATTCATATTTTACAGTTAGCTCTTCCTCTTAAATGAAAAAACTAAAAAAAGTTAAAGTAGAACATTGCTTAGTTACAACGGGTATCAGTGATGTAGGTAAGGTGGGAGTAGATGTAAATAATAAACTAGAGTATAGTATATTATTATGTTTTATAGCATTCTGATTAAATTACAAGGAAATGGCCCTAAAATGTGTTTAATTAAATGCAGTCTTGACCATAGATGTGGTGAGAGGCAGATGTTAGGTAACTTGATTAAAAGATCCTAAAATGAGGGGCACGATATACTAACGCAAAAAACAAAAATACTTAAAGACAGGCAGTAGTGGTTCAGTGGAACATTCCTTTACAGCCAGAAGAAACTGTCATCTGGCGTACACAGCGTGAGGCCACCATCTTGCAGAGTTTTAACCTTCAAAGATCTGCTTCAAGCTCAATGCTTTTATTAGTTAGAAAAGAAAAAAAGAATGTATGTGCCCATGTTTTAACGTTAAAGAATGGGTATTATGCAAAAGCTACTTTTTTGAGCTTTCTACCATGGTATAACATTGTTCCCTCATCAAAAAACATGTCTGAAGAAGTTTTAGATGTCATTCATGCATGTTTGCGGAATCTAGCAATCTCTCCCAGGCCCTATGCAAACCCTATGCAATGTGCCTGTGCCACTGGCCAAATGCCAAATGACTGTGTTGTGATATCACAGCTCTGAAGGAGGAATAACTTAGCATGAAAACCAAAGGGAAGGGTGACTCAGAGCATGAAAAAAGTGAAACTTATTAAAAAATGTTAACACATTGTTTTCGGCAATGTCAAAACAATAAAAGGTAACATGGCGATCTAAATATGTTATTAATTTATACCACATAACCCCTCTTTAACACTTGGTAATTTGCTCTTTTTTTCTCTTTTATGTAGAAGTTTCAGCCATCGATGACCTGCGAGTTGTTGGCCAGACCGATGTCTCCATAGAAGTGGACTGGCAGAACCCCATGGCCCCTGTGGATTCCTTCAGGCTTTCACACACAAACCCATCAGGACAGAAGGAGCAGCAGGATGTGCAGCGCAGTCAGGAGGCCCGAACCAAACATACCATTGTGGGTGAGTGAACTCCTACAAGGCACACAATGCAGAAATTGGGCACTAGTGAAGGTAAGAAGAGAGGAGAGAGAGGCTGAGGCAAAGAGGAAGGTTGCATAATGATCAATGGAAGATTTGTAATATTTTGAGCAGCGATAGGTACGTGTATTCAGATCGGTTGTAATGGGATTTTGTGTATGGATTTTATGTATTGAATTTATTCATTTATTTTACTCTCCAGGTCTTTATCCAGGAACTGAGTATTTGATTTCTGTGAGTGCTGTGAAAGAAGCCAATGAGGGAAAAGCCTCTACAACCACTGGGGTGACAGGTCAGTATACCCGTAATAAATTGTGTACATATACAGTGCATGCATGGCGCATCCAAGGAATTACATAAGAAATCTGTACTGCTTTTAGGCTCTGTTAAAGGTTGTATAGAGGATTTTCCAAGGAACGAGAAATCCAGCGACTGTTTGTCCTTTTTCAAATGTTGCGCATGCGTGAAACCCCCCCCTACAGCTCCTACGTAGAAACGCCTTCTCCCGCCTCCTCACTACGCCAGAAACAGGTTTGTTTACAGCCGGTGAGCTGCACATGACTTGTAAACAACTAACTACAGTGTTGGTTAGGCAAGACGGAGAAGTGAGGAGCGGGGGGAGCGGGTGTGCGGACATTTCGTTCGCGGACGAGAAGTGAGGAGCAGGGAGAAGAGCGGAGCAGGGAGAGAGGAGAGAGGAGAGAGGAGAGGGGAGCGGTGCGCGGAGATTCCGTGCCCGTAGAAGTGAGGAGCAGGGGGAAGAGCGGAACGGGCAGCGGGGACAGGAGTAGGAAAGGGGAGCAGAGAAGGTTGCGCGGAGATTCAGTGCGAATGAACTAGCTACAACACGCAGCAGCAAGCGGACTCTTTCTTTGCCTTGAAAATTACGTTTTCAGACATAGGATATCGCTTTCGTGTCCTGAAAAACGTTTGACTAGCTCTTGGAAATAAAGTACGTTTTCATAATAAGCAGAAGTTACCTGTCCAGGAGTAATTTGGCGACCAATGCGTCAGTCTTTAGACCCTGCGTCTGCTTCAGTCGCACCATCGCTGGAATGAATCTACAAGAATCACCTTAGTTTGGCTTCGCTGCTTTTCCTCTTGTCTTCTTCTTTCAGCGACCTCAAAAACGGACTTTCTTTTGCGGCTAACTGCTCCTGGATTCTTGTCTGCCATTGCAACAAACTTTGTGCTAACTGCGAGGAAGATATAGGTCAAAAAAGCCGCTAAGAACTGTTGCGTTGGTGGAGTAAACAGCGTCTGTGCGTCTTGCGTCTGTGGACTGCGTGACAGGCGTACGTAAACCACGTACCGGCGGCGCGCAGGCAGGTCAGTTACGCTAGAAACGTAGGGAGTTTGATTGACAGCCTGTCAGCTAACAGATAACGAGGCAATGTCGTTATCTATTGGCAAATGTTTAGCTGGCCACCACGTCCAGAGTTGATGAATTTTTATTCTCTTTTTTTTGGTCATCATAATTTACAAGGCTACTGCACCTCTATAATGATATCATTGACAACTTGAAACAAAAAAAAAAAAAAAATCCTCCAACAACCTTAAATGCGCTATAATTCTTCAGTGGCCATTGGTTAATATGGAAAACACAAATTGTACCTGGTTTTACCTTCTCCCCAGTCGATAACGTCATAGTTTTTCAATGGACATTATACAATTATGGTTGAATGATTGAAGATAGGAATTTAGGGCATGATATTGCTGAGTGGATGGTTGTGGTAAGTGGGAACATAATATGTATAGTGTAATGGCGACCTGATGCTCCCTGATGACTTGACTGAGGTCTGGGGTGGATTCTTGTCTGGTGGCGTTGGTTTTTGGTCTTACCCTGCTTTGAGAGGCCAGAAGGTATTTGCTGATAACTTCCACAGCTGCTTTTAACATTAGTTTGACAAATAGTCCACATTGGCAGGTCAGATTTTTGCTCCTTTTTGATTGTTCTTCTCAGATCAGCTCCATTCTTTCTTTTAATGACCTCTTCACATCACCACAAGATGTCATTCGCCTGGGCAAACTTTTTGGAAACCAATTACGGCACTCTTTTTTGCATTTAACAAGAGATTCTGAACCACTGAAAATAATTTGAAGACTACCATTTGTGTGAGAATTATTTTTGCATCCACATCAAAACATCTATTTTACGTTTGTACAGAGATGCCTGTATAACACAGCATTCTAGAAATTCCTTAAATGATCTAGATTCTGTTTCACCCAGGATAGCTAATATGAAAATTGCAATATAAATGTTTTCCTGATATGTGTTCCTGAAGAAACTGGTATATTCTTATATCTAATACAGCAAACTCTCTCCGATCTTGTACTGGAGTTCTGGAGTTCAGTCTGATGGGCAAAATGTCCCGTGAGAAATACCTGGATACACAATAAGCTTATTCCAAATCTGAAAATAACATCAATAATAATTTGTCTTTACCCTCAGCTTGCGTGGTAGCTTGCAAGGTATTTTCAAGCCCCACCTGCCTCTCATCTCTTAATGTCAGTCAGGTCCTCTGAAGCTCCCGTCAGTGCTAATCTCTCCTGTGTGGTAGCTAATCTAGCCCAGACAGACAGTGACTTGTCCCCACTCCACTGGCCACAATCCTCCATTTTAGGTGTTGTGTGAAGCGGCTTAGAGGTGATTGAAGAGGATACTTGTGAGCTTGGTTTGACACCGAGGGCAGCACTGGTTGTACAATGACTGGCACCACCGCGATAGAAAGGAGCACTCACCTATTATCTCCAAAGAACAAGCTGCTCGCCTCAGGACTGCTCTGTAATACTCAGGCAGGGATAAGACCCACCCAAGGGAGCTATAGGATGCTTTTGTTGCTGCGTTTTCTTACTTCTCATCTTCCTGAATAATTAAAGGTCCTATATTATACAAAATTGACTCTTATGAACTTTAAGCCATGGTAGAATGTTGTTACCTCATCAAAAACATACCTGGAGTTGTGTTTTGTTGCATTCAAATGTTTGAGTAATCCTTTATTATTATTCTGTGTACATCTCCAAAGCTCAAAATGCTCTGTTCTAACTTGTGATGTCATGAAGCGGTACTTTTTAAGTGAACAGCTACCTTTTATGTATTTCTTATTCTGTAAAGCACTTTGAATTACTTTGTGTATGAATTGTGCTATACAAATAAACTTGCCTTGCCTTGCCTTGCCTTTTATGGTTATGGGCAAATTTGGAGCTAGAATTATCCAAATGATTCTCGTGAAGGTGTATAAAGTTTAAAAACACAGAGAACACTACCTGTATTATCACATGACATCACAAAGTGGAACAAGGTGTTTTCTGTTTGAGAGAAAAACTCAGCCTAAATATGATGGGTTTGTGTGAAGCAAAATACAATTCCCATTGATGAACTGCCTCATATTGTGAGCTGGACTGCATGTTGTTTTGGCATAGATTTGTATATTTGATGCAACTTTTATCCTTTCCATTTTTTGGGTTTGGGACTAACACAAAGTACACTGTTATATGACATCTTATAACTGTAGACAATGCACTTTGATTTACCATTTGCCATTTTCAAGAAGGAAGGGCAACTGGCTTAAAAAGTACTGTGTGCCATGTAAATATGACTGTCCTACAAAATTAATAGCAAAATCTTTGTGCTGGATTATTTAGGTGAGGAAGTAATCATATTACATTTTGACTGACATTTTGGGACAAATCTAAAGCCCAGCTGATAATTATGATCTATGTATGTTTTTTATTTCATGTACTAAATTCAAAAGAAAGAAAATATATCCAGTCTCTCTCCATTCAATATTCTGTCTGTGATAAAACCTTACAGTTGCTTTCCATTCAGTGCAGTTGCCCACGGGTCTTTAAGCAGTAGCAGATGTCATGGCTGCAGGTCGGGGGAATCATGTTATCAGAATATACTGTAGCACCTCTTGGTCCTCTGGGACAGACCTGTGCTCTGAGGCCTGTCCATCACACTCTACTTTAAAGGGTCTATGTGAGAACAGTGACAAATGGGAATATGAGGGGAAGGTGTGTAACCATGAATCTATTGTGGATCATTTTAAACATACAAACTGATGTGTCAATGTCAGTGCTATTGAAGGGACACACGTGGATTACAAAGGCTTTCTAAATATGCTAATGAAGTTCATATGTGCTGCATGCTATCTTAATAGTTATTGGTGAATATGTTTTTCTCTATCCTTCATTCTTAATATTAAGTTACTTGTTTTTTTATGTGTTGCGGGTGTCTGAAGTTTTGTTTATACTGTTGTTTATATGAGACAGTACTGAACATTCATTGTTAGCCACAGGGAGAAAAACATACAATGATAAATCACATGTCACACAGTATTTGCAAGTAAATTCTGAAGATCCTTTCTGAGAGACAAGTGCTAATCTTTACACCTCTAATGGTTCAACAGTATAACCTATATTAACTATGAGACAATTGATATTGATGATTTTGCCATTAAAAATCCAGTGAATGAAAAAGAATTCCTTGTCCTTCAAAAGTTGAATTTGGCATCAATTATAAGATGAAGCCATGACACGTGGCAGAGTTGACTAATAGTCCACCAGCATGCCCCTGTTTTGACACCTACTGTAGTTTTCATTGGCTTCCTCCTGCCTGAGCTGCCCAGCCAGGCTCTAAGGCCGTGAGAGTATGAATGATGAAAGAGGCCTGTCACACTATGAACCCTGTGGTCAAACCCAGGGCTGAACATGCCACCTGTAATGGATAAGCTGTTTTCCAACAGCATTGGCCCTCGAGCCTGTCATTACAACACTGGTGGGGTATATGTGAGAGAACTCAATCTTACTGTACATGTCAATTTAAGAGGAAAATGTGGAGAAAGAAGGACCATGACATGTCAGATTTATAAGAACAAATCATTGTGCTGTCACAATATATTTTACTTTTCTGTAATAGTTTTGAGCTATGATCCATAATACAAATGAGTATTAATAGCCTAAAGAGTACAGAAACTTTTTTTCTCTCCATAAATTTGCATTCAAATCATAATATCATATTTCAAAGTTGATGGAAGCTATTTTAATATTTCTAACATCTGGTATTATAAAAATGTGACAGTTATTGCATCTTGATTTACAGTATGCGTGTTGAAATCTTTTGGAATTTGTTTATATGCTGAAATGAACCAGTATAAATTCAATGCTTATGAACTGGAGATTGGGGCCCAAACAGGAAGGAGACAGTGAAGGACAGAAACATAAAGTTTTAGGAGTTGCGTGGCTGCTCTCCTCAGTGTGCACGATGCCGTGTGCACAGTGACATGAGACTGACCTGCCTCCTGGGATCCTCACCAATGATGATTACTTTTGCAGCGGGCTCCACTTCCTCTTTGCTTCTGTCGGATTATCACCAGATTTGGGGTTTTTCTACCATTTGGTGTGTTTTTGTGCAAGTCACATTCAGATACATATAATCATCTGTAACTATAGTAGCCTTTTACAAATAAAGTTAAGACATTAAAGGTGCATTATGTAACTTTTCTGGTGCAGTGTCTGCCACTGCTTCCCTTTATGGAGATATTATTGTTTTGCTTTGAATGATCCACACTATGACATTAACCTTACTTATATAGCAATTATGAGTGTTTTTATTACATGAAAAGGCAAAGCAATAACACCTCCATAAAGACAAGCAGGTGGCAGATCATCCACCAGAAAAGTTACCAAAAATATATTGGTGCATTTTGGCTACAGTTTATATGCTGTGTCTTCTTTAGCTTTAATTTAGACACTTTTACATGCTTTGAATGCTGTTGACATGACATTTCCTTTTCACATCTTCATGTAGTATTCATTTTTTTGCCCCGTCAATTGATGCAGTTTATTTTAAAATAAGGGAAACTCTTTTTTGCCACATTTCTTTGTACCTGGACCTCCCTCAGACCTGGATGCCCCTGTTGGCCTGGTGACCACAGAGGTGACGGAGGACTCGGCCACAGTCACATGGGAGCGGGTGAAGGCGGAGGTGGATGGTTACATGCTGAGCTATGAGACCAGTGAGGGCACTAGTCCAGAGTACGGCCTGGGCCGTGATGACACCTCGTACAGGCTGATCGCTTTGAAGCCTGGGGTCCTGCACACCGTCTCCATCTGGGCCTTTAGAGGGGACAAGGTCAGCCAGAAGACATCCACACAGGCGGAGACAGGTAAACCTAAACAGGGCTGGATGACAACAATTGGGACGTTTTACTGAACATCTGGACTAATCTGACAACTGCACAGCTCAACTTCACGTTTTCAAGCATTATGTCTATTTTTTCATGCCTAATTTGTACTTAGGTGCTATACTCTTTGTGATTTTCCTTTTGATTGAAAATGCCCACACATTTTGACATTTAGAACGAAGCATGTTTTGTCAAATGTCCGGGAGCAAAGTTACACCCTTTCTCAAGTACATGTTTTAGGATAATTAGTCTGCTCATTCAATGGCACTTTAGTGTGGCTGTAGGCTAAATGTCTTTAAAATGTCTGAAAACATACATTTTGCCTAGTCAACAAAATGTGGAGTTTTTCATGGTCTGTCTGGTAATATGTTGTGAAGGCAGGCAGCTGCTGCTGTCCACTGCTATAGGGCTGAGGTGAACCGTAGTGAGACCAGACTGGGCTGTGTTCACTTGAGTTTAACTAAGGAGCTTTTAAATCACTCACTTCCATAGAAAGAAACACCGGTGTTTACTTTTAGCATGTGTTCTTCTTGAGAGATTTTGATGAGTCTAACAGACATGTTATGTACTAAGCCTCCTCTTTCATCAAACAGCAGGAGCACAATGATATAGTTATCAGATAAGGCTTGGAATGCAGATTTTTACATTCTTATCGTTGATGTTGTAATATTCTTTTTCAGATTTAGTGAAAAAAAACACTTCACCTCTGTTTTTATCTATAGGCCCTCATACATCACATGAATGTTATTGTAAATGTAAGGTCCGAGTGTGTAATGCTTAATATGTTTGTACTAACAAATACCCTATGCAGACCTAGATGCTCCCAACCTCTCCATTCAAGACACCACTGAGTCCAGCTTTGTCGTTAGTTGGGGCCCACCTCAGGCTCAAATCGATGGCTACATTTTAACCTACAGCTCCTCTGAGGGCACTAGTGAGGAAATCCCTCTCAAATCTGACCAAAGCTCTCACAAGCTGAGTGCTCTGAGGCCTGGAGTCCTGTACACTGTGCACGTGTGGTCCGTCAGGGGGAGTAAAGCCAGCAGGAAGACCTCCACACAGGCCGAGACAGGTGCAAAACTCTGCGACTCTCTTATTAATACTATACACCTACAACAACACATGGACTATATAACTTTGAAGTGTCCCAAATACAGGCCCTGCATATTTCAAATCTGATACCAAGATGTTTTCTGGAAGCAGCATCCAAAAATAGCTTTAACAACCAGGGCCCTCCCAGCAGCAAAGAGGACCCATGATGTAGTACAGACTGTTGTATAGATTATTAACATCTGACTTTATATGGCAAACTTTATTTGCTCATGCTAAGAGTCTTGTAACAGACCAACCGCAACAGAGACACAGGGCCCTCTTTGACTGCAGATTTCATAAGTGCTGTTAAGAGAGGAGCTGAGTTCACACTTGCTGTGCTTAATGCCCTTTAATGACAACTAAAACAGTGAACCTTGGTTAGACTGAATTAGGATTTCAGTACATACTTCACATAGTTGTCCAAAGGGGACCTACCTACTTTTTGTCATATAAGAATCATCTTGATTATCAATTTGTTTTTACAGAAATCATATAAGACTCTCTCTGGGTCTTTCAAACCAGCAGATGTGAACTCACTTGAGACTTTAGTTCCTTTGTGTACTGAGTGCAGCTCTATAAAGCAGGGCACACTGATTTTTCTCTTCTTTTCCAGATTGAAACAACTGTAGTTTGTAGTGATTAACTTCTACTAACCTCTTCATTTAGACCTGGATGCTCCAGCTAACCTTGTAGCTCGAGACACCACTGAATCCAGCTTCACCGTTTCTTGGGATCAGGTCCAAGCAGAGATAGATGGCTACATGCTAACCTACAGCTCCTCTGAGGGCACTAGTGAGGAAATCCCTCTCAAGGCTGACCAAAGCTCTCACAAGCTGAGTGCTCTGAAGCCTGGAGTCCTGTACACTGTGCACGTGTGGGCCATCAGGGGGAGTAAAGCCAGCAGGAAGACCTCCACACAGGCCGAGACAGGTCAATAGAGTTTTTTATACTGCAAGCTTCAAACGCAAACATTTGCAGCTAACAGTTTACCTAAGTATTCAAGGATATTTAAAATAGTCTGAACAAAGGTTAACGAAAGACATACCAGGGATTTTAGTATGTATGCTGATTTTCTGTAGCATGGCTTTATGGCTTTCTTTATGGCTTATTCTAAACCTGTCTTATTTTTTGTGATGGTATTGATTTTGAGTGCATTTATTGCAACGTGTATATAGATTTGGGACAAACAGAGTAAATGACCCAGGAAATGTCCAGGTTACAGAGGTGGTCGTAACTCATCGAGGGGTAAAAATAGCAGAGTAGAACATGACGGCTGAGACACAACTGTGGAGTCTTTGTGTGAGCTTGGTGATCTGGAACATGGTGTGTGTCCATCAGGCAGCTAATGGCCACAGTGCTGCAGGATAAACTTGTCCAGTCGTAACTCATGGACCCTCAGTGCAATGGTGTGACTGGGCACTGTGTTAAAGTCCTTCATATGGGATTCATAAAACTGTGCAGTGCTCCTACAACTTCACTGGTGCTGTTAACAAAGAGGTCTCATTTGCTGGGTGCAAAAACGTGTAAAGACTGAAGGTGAAGGTACAATCGTTTGAGCAGAAGTATTCCTCCAAAAAACATATCAATAAAGTGGTACATCAAAATCTGTGTTGGATCAATCAAATCCATTTTGTTCAACAATGCATGGAAACAGGGATTACCATTTGTTTGTTTTAGGGCCTCAAAAAGTATAGATTGTCTGTTGCATTATGATGCTTTTTTTTTTTAATGTGTATCCAAAACAAGACACCATTAAAATAACTCAACTTAAATTTTAGGAAATAATCTTAGATGTTGTGTTGTGAGGTTGCTGTAGTCCTAAAGATACAATCTATAAAACAACACTGTATTTCTATAAATCAGTTAAAGGCATTGCTATATTTTGAAGTCCAGAAATCAGTTACAAAGTGAGTGGCATTATTTTGATTACATTGTTGTGTTAACTTTTATTTGACAGATATTGATGCTCCCAAGGACTTGAAGGCAGTGGATGTGACTATGGACACCGCCACAGTGACTTGGGTCCCTCCTCTGGCTGACATACAGGGCTACATCCTCACATACAGGGACGAGGAGGGCAAGATGGAGGTACTACTAATAATAATTTTATAAATACAATATTAATAAATACATAGATTAAGCTCTTATGGTCACAGGAACTACAGGACGCTGCTTGAACTTTAATTTTTTTTACATGCTGATGCCTCTTCAGTTTATGCACTGTGAAATGCTGACCTCTTGTGGCTGGTAATAAAGCTAGGAAGCAAATCTGCAAAAGTACTAGTTCACAGTTCTGAGAAAAAAAATGGCCATACACAGCCTGTTTCATCTATATGAAACATTCCTCTTGACAGTCTGTTTTGTTGTACTATGGGGGGTGATTTTCTTTTCTGTATTTTGTTCAGACTGTTGAGAGGAAGCTTGGAGCCAGACACAAAAAACTTGCATTGTCTGGTTTGGAAATGGGCAAGAAATACATTGTGACCATCATTGCTTACAAAGGCACCAAGAGAAGCAAAGTGGTGGAAACTGTCTTCAAAACAGGTCAGTGTAAAATTTAAACATAAGTGGTTTCTCGATATTAATATTGTGTTTTGTCTTCCTAGTTGGCCTCATGTACCCATTCCCAATGGACTGCACCCAGATCATGAAGAATGGCATCCTGAAAAGTGGCATCTACACTATTTACATCAACAATGATCAGTCCAAACCTATAGAGGTGTACTGTGACATGGACACTGACGGAGGGGGCTGGCTGGTATGTACATTACAGTATAACTTATACATACATACAAAATATACTATACATTGAATAAAAGTGTTCAGAAATCAAAGCAATCAAGCACTAATTTCCCTGATGTTGTGACAGATGTTCTCAAAAGTTTTTTTTTTTTTTTTTAACCAAAGATGTTTAAAAAGCAGATTTATTTTGGAATAAGCTTGTTCAATGTCTGCTTTTAACAATGAATTAAATAATAAATAAGAGTGCATTTTTTTACAACTAGTTATGCTTTAGCATTTATTGTATTAAATATAATTTTAAGTATCTAAAATTTATTTAAAGTGTATATAAATGTCTTGTGACTCAAAATTAACATATTATGTAACCATTGTTTGTACAGCTAGTTATTTTTGTTTCTTTTTTTATTTAAATGCTTACAATTGACCTCTCTGTCATTGAGCCCTGAGTGATCTTGTAAATTAGTCTGTCAGTTAACGCTCCTCTGGCTGCTTTCAGGTGCTGCAGAGGCGTAATATTGGCAAGCTGGACTTTATGAAGCGCTGGAAACAGTACATAAGTGGCTTTGGCAACATGACAGAGGAGTTCTGGCTCGGTGAGCGTGCTTTTGTTGTTTCTTTTCTGCAAACACTGAATTCATGCAAATGCTGTAAGTCATATAACATCTTTTTTCAACCCTCAAGGTTTGGAAAAGATATACGATATCACCAACACTCCCACTCAGTACGAGATAAGGTTCGACTTAGGCTTCGGCTCAGAGAGGGCCTATGCTGTTTATGACAACTTTAAGATTGCACCAGTCAAGCAGAAGTTCAAACTTACCATCGGCAAATATAGAGGGACAGCAGGTGGGTTTTTTTCTCCTAGAATCTTTCAAGGTACAAGCAGAACACCACTGTGAAGCTGGCATACATGCGCTACTCTGCTCAGTGTTCTGTCTGCTACTGGAATAAAACAGAAAAAAGGGGACAAGGGCAGCTATATAACAGACAAGCCAAGAATATAGGCAGGTTCAATTATGGGGTGCTGCTGAGATAGCAAATATACTGTGTCACTGGGCAGAGTTTTTTGAATTAGAAGCCCATGTTCTCTGAGTTACAGGCAGTGCATATAGGGACGCTATCTGTAGAAGCCTTTGAAGTCAGACGCATACAGTGCCACAGTGTGCTGAGACAACATGTACGCCGCTACTTTTAGACATTTATTACATTCCATCCATCAGGGAGGAGCAGATGGAGGCATGAATACGTAGGTATACACGAGTCAGATTGGTATGTTGCCGTGGTAATGATTATGGCGTTTTGGTGTGGATGATGCCCAGGTGATGCAATGACCTACCACCAAGGCCGGCCCTGGACCACCGTGGACAATGACAACGACATCGCCCTGGGCAACTGCGCACTTACTCACCGCGGCGCATGGTGGTACAAGAACTGTCACCTGGCCAACCTCAATGGCAAGTGGGGAGACACCAGGCACAGCACGGTGAGTGGACCCCAAACACCCTGTTATGTATGTTTTTATTTGCAGTAAGAAGAGCAAGAAGCCACACAAGCATCTCTAATATGGAATTGTTTGAAATAGGGGTAATGTTGAGGTTCAAACCCACAGAAGCTCTAACTACAGAAACAGCTTGTAACGACATTTAATTGAGGAGTAAATTAAAAGAGCTTTGGGTCTTGGAAGGCTTAATACAAAATCAGTGCATTGTTATTATTAATATTATGTATTTTTATGCACATATAGTGGATGTGTTCTATATGTATATAAAATGTGTCCAAACTTTTGCTAGTTTTGGTAGCGTATCTATTTTGCTGTTACAATCAGCATAACCATGTGACACAATAGACACACGCCTTATGATAAATATATACTTATGATTTATCATTTACTAATGCTTTTTATAAACATGAATCCATACTACCTTCTTTTTAATAAAATACTGAGTTACTTCCCAGGCACAGGACATCTCCTCTTTTCTCCTCTGGCACTGAGCTTGTTTTGTGTTGTTGGGTAAAGGAGGGATAGTCAGAATCCATCAACAAAAATACTAAAAGACATTTTTCACTGCAGCTCTAAAGCATGCATGTTTTTTTTCTCCCAGAAAGGCTAACTAATGGCCTTATTTCAAAGGAGTAATGCTTTTCTGGTCTGATTTAGAGGATTTTGTTTACATTGGTTTTGGTGGTCAGTTGTACACCAGCATGCCTTGAAGAAAAACAGAAATGTTATGCATAAATATAATTTTAAAAATATGCAACCAAGGTCAGAGGGTAAACATGTTTCCATAACGTTTTGTCAGTTACTGTAAAAGATTTATTTTTTGTAATAGTAATTGTTTGGGTTTACAGAATTATCCAGATTAGCATAAAAGGGAAGACTAAGGAATGAAATTGGAGTGAGATATGACAAAAATAATATCAGTATTATCTATATGTTTTTCCTCATATTGATCAATTACACTTTCCTTTTTTTAACTCATATTTTATAGTTTCATATTATTGCAAACTATAACAAAACAAACAGAATTATACAGAGCAAATGATAAATTGTTGTTAAAATAAACAGTCCACTTTTCCCAAGAATCTTCATATTTTGCTTTGTTGGAACCTCCATAATGTGAATTTTCTCCATAAACTGAAGTCCCTTCAGTTAATTGTTGGTGAATTTTCCTTATACCAATTACATGTGATGGCATTTTTTTTTTTTAAGATGCCAAGTAATGTTTTATCAAATAGTAGACTTTTTTGATATGCCTTTCCATGTTATATGACCCCATTATAGAACTAAAACCTCAATCAATCACACATTTCAGTTATTTTTTATTTTGTTTTATTAGAAGCAAATAGAAATTGATTGGAATATTAATTTATTCTTTTCTTCTCTAAAATCTGAACCCTGCTGTACAAAACATGCTTTTACTGACAGAGAATAGGCTGTAGACCTCTCAAGTATCATTGACCATTAGTGATGACTGAATCTCAATCTTGATTAAAATTCAATAGATTATACAGCCCAAGGACAAACTGAACATGCATACATTACTGATTACTGTATATAATTTCTCTTTCTTCTGACAGGGAGTGAACTGGGAGCCGTGGAAAGGCCACCTGGAGTCCCTGGACTTCACTGAGATGAAGATCCGACCTCTGGGAGCCCTGGCTAGCTGAAGCAGAGGTCCCTGATGGACAACAGGAGCACAACTGCGGAGGTGGTTTAGAACATAAACCTCTGCACACAACCCAGCAGTCTGCATCCATAAGCATTAGCCAGAGTTGGTTTTAATCAAATGTAAGATTGAAAGCATACAGTATAGACCCTTTAAAAAATTGTAAACAAAAGCATTCTAAATTCCAGTATGGAGGCAACTAGAGGCAAAAGTGAAGTAGAACATAATGCTATTCCAATGGGAAAACTAGGATTAATTTCAGAATATCACAAATATGAAAAGTCAAGGGAATTTAGCAAAAGAAAACCGCTCAGATACATGTGAGTGGTATTAGAGTCCCATTTAAAACATTTACACAAGTGTTTTGTGATTTGTTAATGATAAACTCTAAGCATTTTTGACAAAGGAAAAATCCTGATTTTTTTTGTGTGTACTGGATAAATCCTTACAGAAAAATTAAGTCCAATCCATTTTGTCACTTGATCTACAGATATATTACACATTTCATCATAAACTATACTTTTGTGAAACTCAAATACATATATATATATATATATATATATATATATATATATATATATATATATATATATATATATATATATATATATATATATATATATATATATATATATATATATATATATATATATATATATTAGCTCCAGTTGCCTTCATTTCAGAATTTTGAATATTCTGATGACATAGGATTTTAAAGGGTCTTTAACCAGTTACACAGCCACACATACACACACACGCGCACAATACGAAATGGATACCAAAATACAATTATAACTTATTAACTGTATAAAAAATAAGAGCCACTATTTTGTTACTGAAAAAGATGTTGCATGTTTTTGAATGGTACAAGATTATTTTTTACCAAAAACAAAACATTTGGTGTAGTTTATTTTCTACTCTCCTACTCACCTCATTTTTTTCATTATTTAGTGTTAGATTTTAGTAGAAAATTATACCACTTGTTTGCTGTCTGTTTTGTTGTCTTTTACATGAAAGAAAAGAACAAAATCTGCTTTTATGTCAAATCTGGTTAACATGTTTACAAAAAGCATTATACTTCTGCAGGTGGCCTTTGTAGGTTTTATTACTTGATTACATCACATTACGACTAGAATCAATCCAAAAAAAAAATCCAAAAGTAAATCTCAGAGCTCTGCCAAGATGCTGCAGCTACACCCTGGAAAGTTTTCCGGATCCAAGCCAAAAAACATTCACCCTCACTGCTTTTTACTATTTCCTAAAATTGGCAAAACAACACTTCCCTCTTGGCACAGCTAATTGGGATTCTCATAGATTTACCATAATTATCATCAGCTTCTGTTTCAATGGAATTTTAACCAGTAGATGTGGCTAAACATTGAGAACAAAACAATAATTTCATACAGTTATGTTTTTCTGGCCAGCAACTAAGCCACGCTAATGTATATTATTTGTGCATTGTAAGTTTTTTGAAGTAGTCATTTTTCTTCTTTGTATAGTATTGTCATTATTACAGAAATGTAAAAAGTGTAAATGTGTGTCTGTGCTTATTTATGTAGTCATAGTTATCAGTGGGATGCATAACAAATATAGTGGCCTACTGTATCATTTCAAACAATATCTATAGTTCTATAATTTTCGTGTAAAGAGCCCATAATACTTATTTCTGATCTATGTTATACTGTTGTTTCCTCATCACAAACAGACCTGGAGTTGTGTTTTGTTTCATTCACACATGTTTAACACATAAACCCTGCTTTGTTCCACCTTGTGATGTTATGTGGTAATACAGGAAGTGCTCTACTGTGTTTTTAATCTCCATCTTCATTTGGATTATTTCAGTCCTGAAATTTCCAATCTCCACTAAACAAAAGGTAAATGATAGCTATTAAATTGAAAACTACCACTTCATGACATCACAAAGTGGAACAGAGCATTTTGAGCACTGGAGATGTAGACAGACTAATAATAAACAGTTACTAAAACATGTGTGAATGCAACAAAACACAGCTCATAGGATTCAGTTTTGTAGGATCTTTAACATGCATATCACATCAAACGTCAGAGTTTCTTTTAATGGCATGACAGGTTATCATGTTTTTCAAATTATTACTTGGGTTGGTGTAGAGGTATCTGTTTTAAATATTTATATACTTGTGTTTTTTTACATCAGTCAAGAGGCAGTTTGCAGAGAAAACAAGTTGAGAAGAAAAGTGCAATACCACAGGAAGTAGCGGTTATAAAGTTATAAACAGAATGCATCTACCCATGTCATCAACAGTGAAACTTCCATCCAATATGCAGCGACAATTTACGCACAAGGAACACATTTTTCTGGCAGTTTAAGCCTTCATTTAAGAAAATAAATGTTAAAAAAGTCTTTATTTATTACCCTATTATCTCTATCTCCTAAATATCTGACCTAGCAATTTAGACAGCTTTCGAGCCTTGTTAACATTCTTGTGGTAGCTGCCATGGAATCACCTCTGCATATGTCACAGCTCTGTCCAATCAGAAGGTAAAATGGAATTATATACTTCAACAAAAATAAGTGAAAAATTAGTAGTCTAACCTGTCATATCCACTTTAATCAATTCCCAAATTTCCATATGTAAAACTGACAAAGATAACTAATTTGGGCCGGACTTTACAACCTAATTACTTTCCATTGTAAACTGTTGGGGACTGTGACATGGACAGGCCTCATCCATCAGCCTCCTGCTAACGTGTCACAACTCATTTGGGCTTCACGCCTCTCATCATTAATTTTGCATTTTCATTCAAAACCGTCTGCGCCCACAAGCCTTTAACAGGGCTAGTCCCAATCCGTCTTCTAAAGGTCATCCGAGACTGAGTAACAAGCTGTTTACGATGCTCCTAACTCAGGCAAATTGGAAGTTTGGGTGCACATTTAGCCTTGTTTTGTGCCTTTAGGCCTAAATCTATTTCTTTACATAAATTTTCTTTGGGGGGAAATAAAGCTGATCATCTTATACTTAAAGGTGCTCTATGTAACTTTTTCTGGTGAGGGGTCAATCACCTGCCTGTCTCTTTGGAGATGTTATTGCTTTGCCTGAAATTTTCCATAGTTTGTTATTAGTATGTAACTATTTTACATGTATTAAATTATATGTTTTGATAGTTTTCCTGACCTGTAACTTCCCTGGATGGCACGGGTAAGTTTAATGTCACTATGGAATATTCCAATCCTATCACCAGGGAGACGAGCAAGTGGCAGAATCCCCACCAGAAAAGTTACATGAAACACCTTTAACTGTACTGTCAACCAGACTTTAACTTTGTGGTGTTAGTTACTGAAGCATCCGCCCCATGTTCAGCTGGGATGATGATTGGAGATGAATTGGGAACTGCTTCTACTTTGCGATTTTAATTTTAAGAAGAGACCCAGATAAATCATATTGTAATTATTGTTTGTTTACTGACCTCTTGTGGCTAAAGTTTGTATTACTATAGGTCAGAGTATGCAATATCTAACACAGTGGTCTAGACTCGTCATACCCAAAGTCTGCTGTGCCGTGGCCCACCATCGATGCTCCTACTACTTTACACTGCATGGGAAAAAATTTAATTTTTTCTTCTTAGTTCCATATATTAAAACAATACATTGCTGTGGGCTTAATACTAAAGTAATATAAACAAATATGTCAAGTTGATTTAAAACTCAATTTTCTTTCTTTCTTGTTGCATGGCCAGCCCCCCAGTGGTCCCTAGACCCAACTTTGGTAACCACTGGTCTAGACACATCATGCTCCTATCATGTGCATTATTGAGGCCATTTGAATTACTTTTTGGACAGCTCAATATATGGAAAATAAAAGCAACTCAGCCAGGATTTCTTAGCTCACAAAACAGAACGGTGGCCAGCAGGTGTTTAAAGTATCCACTTACATTTGCCTTTTGCTGGTGCATTGAGGAACACTATTTCTTTCTGCAGTACTGTATACTTCATCTTGTAAACTAAGCGGCCTGCAATGCAATCATTTCATAAGATACATGTGGAACTTTTCAATAGACTATGGAAATTGAATAACATTTTCCATCCATACCAGAAAAAAACACACCACACTAGATTCTAAATTGAAGTTTCTAATTTACTCATATGTTTAACTGAAACAATTTCCTGTACACTCACATTTGTTTATAGGAAAGCATTTGAAGTGAAAATATGAGACAAAAGCTTGCAGATGTGAAGGTCTTTTCCGCCCCACAGTTTACAGTATGTATGTTTCTGAGAGGAGGGTTCCAGGCTTTAGTAGTAGGTGTTCCTGTATGCAGTGTGAGTGTGCAGGCCTCAGTCTTGATGATGACTTCTTTCCATGATGCAGTGGGCTGTGGTGCTAACAAGGGCGGTTTGTTTGGAGAGGTGATGTGAGCTGCCCACGGAGACGGGGAATGACACATGGAAGCTCAAACTGTATAATAATTACAAATGTATAAACAAAGTAAACTGTGTGCATGTCACATTTTCCGAAAATATCCGAACTTTGCAGTAACGTTAGGCTGGTGGTGTTCTACATGTATCTCTATGGTGGAATGATCAGCAGTTACCATGGAGACACAATGCACACATTGGCAAACACAACCAAAAAAGTTTTAATATAGATGGAAAACTCATGCAAAAATACAAAAGACATTTGACACATTTCATATTTCATCAATATGAGTGTTCATGGTTTTGTTGAGGTGTTTGATTTTCAACAAAAAAGGTGAGAATGAGTAACTGAAAAGACTGTTGACTAATGTTGGCTTGTGGCTGTAATTTTATGTATGAGAGACTTGTGTAGAAGCCCAAATCATCTCACTTGTTGTAGTTCCAACCAAGTCAGCTCTGGTCAGATTGTGTTAAAATAAAACTTAGATTTAAGTCTAATAGATAACAATGACAGAGCAGTGCCTACAGTTAGCATCACACCCATCAGTGAATGTTGATGATATTAGTTGCAAAGTATCAATACACTTGGGGAATTATGATTAAATAGATTTTTTTTAATAAGACATTTTCTTGGCTTTTTGTCTAAACAGAAAAGTGCAGACCCAAAGTGTGTTTGCACCACGGTCTGGTGGCGTCAACCACTTATCTCCATGAAGAAAGATAGGGTATGTTTAAAGCCATACTATGGAAAGTTAAAAAAAAAAGTTATAAAATGCATCTTTAAGCTTTCATTAGTTAAACAAACATGTTAAGTCATCAGTCAAAATTACAGATACAGCATTCAACTGCAAATGTCTGCAAACACAATTATCAGAGGTAAATAAAAAGTTTGGCCATGGGGTCGTCTTTCACATAAACACTTCAGCAGGTCTATAATGCACAAAATGGGTGTAAAGAGATACGCTGAAGTAAACTGTCAGTTCATTAATTGCCTGTTTAAAATTTCACACCTTCCCTGACCCCATCAGAGAGTGAAATCTGCATAGGCTTTCTCCATATAAGCAGAGGAGGGTTTTCAAAGGCAGGTCTGCGGGCGATGCACTTTTACAGAAATAAACATGTTTACATAGAGATTTGCTAATGCTAGAACAATAAAGCTGTCAGTCGGGTTAGGACTCCTGATCCGTGAAATGGAACAAATTCACACATCAACGCGCTAATGGAGACAAACACCACACCTCCAGTCACAGTGATTAGAGGTTACACCGTTAGCAATAGGCTTACTCACATGCGGCGTAATCTATATTTACAATGCATAATATTAGTATAACATGTCATGGGAGACGTGGGTATTAGCAGCAGGAGTTGTATTTCACATGGAGTCATTGACAGTTGTTTTGAATTGTGAGTTGTGATGCATTTATTACACTTAAAGATGCAGTACATAACTTTTCTGGTGGGTGGAAGATTTGCCTGAAATAGTACATCATAGTATGACAGTAAACTGTTACATTTACTTCAGTGTGGATATTTTAATCTTCACAAATCTGACCCTTAACTTGACTTGTTGATTCTAGGCATAGCGATCTTATCTTCATTGGGACACCAGAAAGGTCACGCGGTATACCTTTCAGATTTTTTGTTTGTTTGTTTTTTATATTTTAATTTATAGCACTAGGCCTGTCACGATAAATACTAAATCAACTCAGTGTCCAATATATGAAAACTGGAACAATATTTTTGGGGTCAGTATTTATCATATGTAATTTTTCTTTGCACAACTTTGAAATCTTTGGTTATTGTTTAACTATACAATAAGATTTAAGCTGTAAAAGGTTGAATTAATAACTTCTATGACTCATTACAAATACAAACTAAGTACTAAAGTGTTTCATTCTGCTGTTTCTGTCTATTGCAGATCATGATTTTTTTAAACAATATTTTTTAACACATTTAGAATATATTTGTGATTTAAATCTGCTCTTTGATTATTGTGTCAGCCCGATAGCACACAGAATGAAACAGTGGCAAGTAAGAAAGAGTAAAGTAGTATAGTTGTTCTGTTTTGTTTCTATTGTCTGAACAGGATGCTCGTGAAAAAGAGACTGGTACCCTCATCGGACTCACCCTGTATAAATAAAGATAAATGAAAAATATATTGCGTTGTATGCTGGGCAATAAAAAACTTTTTGCAGGGATAAATCTCACAAATTAAGCGCACTTTCATTTCAGTAAGTATGAATCCAATGGACCCCCTCCGTCAGAGCAGTAATGAACTAAGAGAAGCCCCATTTTCCCATCAGCCCTAGAGAGGAGGAGCAGCATACCACCCGTGTAAGCTAATGCATAAAGATGATGGACTTGTGAGCAGGGCTGGGGCTTAATTGGGCTTTGGAGAACTTGGAAATCAAAAACACTTTCAAAGTTACAATATTATTCAAGATCATTTATACTTTTTACAGCTCATTAAAAATGATATGGATAAGTGAAGTCTTACCTGAGTCATTTGGCATATTTAAAGATGAACTGTGTAACTTTTCTGATGTAGGGTCCACCATCTTCTTGTCTCCATGGTGTTGTTATTGCTTTCCCTGGGATGTTCCACAGTATGGCATTAAACAAATATATATTGTATTTAGCACATTGCAGGTGTTTTTTTGTTTCTCAAAACTGCTGCAAAAAGATGCATCGTAAGCATAAGCGGGCCCACTTCTCCTCAGATCTGACCTGTAACTTGGCTTGGTGATGCATTTGTTTCCATGGAGATAGCTAAATGAAATGCCATACTGTAGAACATTTCAGGAAAAAACTAACATCTACATGGAGTCAAGCAGGTGGTGGACCTTCTACCACAAAAGTAACATAGTGCCCTTTAAAGTAAATGGAATAAAATATCAGAATGCAGTTCATTTGAAATCTATTTTGAACCTGAAAATTGTGATGTAAAACTTTTCACAACTGTTTTGCTTTTGTCTTTGAATATGATTTAAATTTTAAACCAAGTGCAATGATAAAACCAATTTTAGTTCAGCAATGACAAATAAAATGATGTAATCTGTTGCGCAGATGGCAATTACACGCTGTTTGTGAATAATTAGAAAAAGGGAATAAGACACTGAGACAAATTGTGAAATCATTGTAATGCTGAGAAACTGCATCATAGATACAATTTTGAAAGAATCTATTGCACAAGAAAAAGTTTGGAAAAAAACAAAAAATGGATAGATCATTTGCAATGCTCCCCACAAGTTTAGATTGAGACTGGTGGCACAGGCAATCCTGATTTGAATAATTTAATACAATACATTTTGTGGAGTGATTAATGTCACTAATTGCTTCTAATCAAAAACAACTAATGAAATCAAAAGTTACGCCCATATAATTATGATTACACAACATGGAAGGTTATTTTTAAGCATCCTATATTACACAAAATTGATTCTTATGAGCTTTTTTTTTATCTTATAATGTTGTTACCTCAAAAAAACAGTTGTGTTTGTGTTGTGTTTTGTTTCATTCACATGTTTGAGGAATCCTTTATTATGGTAGTCTAGTAGAGATCAACAATTCCAGGGCTGAAATTATCCAAATGATTCTAGTGAGTGTGAAATGGAGTTTAAAAACACAGTGGAGCGCTTCTTGTGTTACCACATGACATCACAAGGTGGCACAAAGCGAGATTCAAGAGAAAAACTCAGCCCAGATCTGCAGAGTTTGTGTGTTAAACATGTATCAATGAAACTAAACACAACTCTAGGTATGTTTTTGATGAGGAAACAACATTATAACATAGATCAGAAAATAGTGTAATGTGGGCCCTTTAAAGTCTTAGTTATCTTGTTTTGGGCTGTGGGGGCCACCGTACTCAACCATATTAATTAATAGGAATCTCTCTATTTGCATATTGTCATAGCAGCACCAGCATAACCTAAATACAGCTCAAGTGAACAAGCCAGCGTGTGCTTTTGCCCATGTAAGTCGAAAAGAAATATCCAAAAGTTGGTTGTATCTTGCCTTTTGTTCTTGGTGTGAAGCTGTGACTTGAATCCTTGTCAGTCGATCAGCAGTGATGTGGAGTGTAGCAGTCTTACAGTCTACTCACATCTGGATTGTCCTTAAATAACTCTCCTCCAACACAAAGCCAGTTTCACACAAGAGCCCCCAGGAACAAATGGCTCTGCAGACTTCTTCCACTCAGAGCTCACATTCACTCCAGGGCTGCAGTCATCAGCTACAGTCGAGCTATTCAATTCAAATAGTCTCAAATATAAGCCTAAAAGAAAATGATGACTAACTTGTCCATAAAATGACCATTTAATATAAAAAATAGACAGAATGCAACCACCATGATTAGATTAAAAGTGTCCAATTTTCTATCCACATTTTAGACAAATAAAATAATTACTGAAATGTCTATTCATGGATTTCATGTTTCTGTTTATAGACAAGATTATGAGGACTTCTCAGCATTCAAAAGGAATAATAGTTAGTTTGAAACTGTTAATTGGTATGGCAACAGTCCTAAATGTTCATAATTTTGAAACCAATAGAAAGATTTGATTAATGTCTCATTAGAAAATTCCTCTATATGTCAAACAACTGTGTGAAAATTTTGCTATTACATTCAGTTCCTCATACTTTGATCTGAAGATTTTACTATTATAGTTTGTACACAGCAAAAAAGTGAAGTGTTAAAATTGACTCTCACAGAATAAATTTTAACATTTTCTCAGGGTTTATATGAGTCCAATCTGTTCTAGAGTTAATTTAACATTTTTGGAAATGTTAATGAAGTAACACTGGACCAAAGATCCTGTTTAACCGCCAAAATCAAGAGTTATATTAATGCTTTGAGAGTAAATGGATAACACTTTGTAGAGTTATCCTGATTTAGCTAAACAACACACAGAGGTGCTTTATTTTTACACTTTATTTTAGTTAATTTACAATGAAATTATGTACAAAACTGGTTCAAACTGGTCTTCTCTCACAGGAGTTTGAAGTGGTGGGTGGGAGGAGTCAAATTAACACTAGGGGAAGTTGCAGTAACTTCAGTCATATCAACTCTGGCAAATAATCCCAACTCAAACCCCCATTTAACCTTGAAATAGTTAAAATAACACTTTTTGTGTTAAAAACAACTCTGAAATATTTTATCCTGAAATTTAACCCTCCAGTTTTTGCTGTGTATTCTTTGTAGTTATGTGTGAAAATAAAAATAAAATCCTGTACATTTAATCTAATTTATTAGGGGTGTAATGATATCCAAGTCTCAAGATACGATATCGTCACAGCATGAACCTCACGGTACGATATTTATTGCGATATCGTGGGAAAGCTCATGATTAGGGATGTAACAATATCCAAATCTCAGGTTTCACGATATACATCTCAAGATACACACACTCACGATATTACTATGAGAACTTTGATGATACGATATCACGATATTTCTGGTATTGTTACATCCCTATAATTTATTATTTTGAGTGACTGTTCTGATCTAGCCTGTCCAGACCAGTACATTTGGGCCCACCATACCACACAGTAAATCCCTTTTTCTTCAGACCATCTTTTTCTTCCCATGAGAGCAGCCCTGTCACACACTCACACATTCTCACTGACATGTTTCTGCTTGTGTCAGCGAATTCCTCATGTACCATACGCTGAATACATAAAATATTGTAAACACTGCCACAAAACATACCGCACTGTGAATACAAATGAATTATTACACTGTCAAACAATCTTCCATGTTCTCACACCATTCCCAGTGCGACTCTATCCGCCGTCATTGCCCCAGGTTTTACTGAAATCCACAGGTCATCCGGGTTTGTCGAGGTTTTCTTCTTTTTTGTCTCTGACCTCGCCGTTGCCATGGAGTCCCGACAACAGCAGAGGCAGCATCCGTCGGCATGGCGACAGCAGCAACAGTGGCAGCACACGATGAAGGTGGTGATGATGATGAGGAGGGGCAAGGTGAGCAGGACCACCAGGCACACAGTGTTAAAGGTGCCCTGGTTGTGTTTGTCCGTCACAAAGCTCCACAACTGCTTGAAAAACTCCTCCACTTTGTCCATTTTTGAGTTTGAAAAGTCTGGAAAAGTTTAGGCAAATCCTTCAAGGTTCAGGAGACCGCAAGTGAAAGTATTCTGACACCAAAGTAATTAAGAAAGGGCTAATTAACGCAGCCAGACATTTTGGTGGCATTAGTTAGCTTTCATGTTCCCTTCTCAGATGCCACAGTTTGTTTACTCAAGACAAGAATTGCTGCAAGCTTTCCTTAAAATGTCTGTCAAACTCCCAGCCCAATAGCACTGCTTATAACTTTGGAACTCTGAAATCCGTTATGACAATTCTTATCTCAAGGCAGTCACTGAAAAGTTTGTGGTGCTGCTTATGCATTCCTCTCACATTTGCGCGCGTCGTCCTTCTAAGTTTTTTATTTTTTTCCTTTTTGGCCTTTTGCTTTGGTTTAATCCTCTTCACTCGTTGGGCGTGTCACTGAAAAACAACAAAGCAAGAGAAAGTGAGGATTTCAGTTTTTCAACCTAAGTTTACCCTATCCAGCTTATAATTTCAACCATTAAAAAATATGATCTGCCATGCACAATACAGCACCAAATGTAGGCAAAGAAAAGAGACAAAAAGCACCTAGACATGTAACATATGTTCTTATGTATCATAAAACAAATATATCATATCACATATCATAAATATATCACAGCATAAATGAAAACAAAAATCCTTAAATTTTTTATTCCACATTACTGTTTATTATGTACAATCATAAGCGATAAACTTTTGTGCCTTCTTCATTACAACTTATTGATTTGTACGACCATAAATGAAAACAAAAAAATCCTTAAATCTTTCATTCTCATTACTGTTTAACTTTGTACCTACTTTAACATTATTATTAGTTAGTACGACCGTGAACGAAAATATATTTCTGCATGTATGTATTATGCACATGTGTATTATGCATACGTGTATCTATATTTATATTTCATATATGTACTGGATATCTTTGATGCGGATATGTATGCATGTATTTATTTATGTATGTATGTATGTGTGTAAATGTGTATATATGTATATATATGTATATATGTGTGTATATGCATGCAATGCATACGACTGGTAAGTACTCCAAAGGTGTTAAATGTATTAAGTTAATTAATTGGGGTAGGACACTATTACGTTTTGTAAACTTCATCCTACTCCTTTTGATCACCAGGTCCCAAATATGTTCATGTACACATCATAAAACAAAATACAACTCCAGGCATGTTTTTAAGGAGGAAACAACATATCATGTCTAAAAGCTCCACAAGAGTAAATTTTGCTAAAACTTATATGTCTTTCATTCATTCAATTACCGAGGTTTAAATTGCTGAAAAATACTTGGTTTGGTGGAGTCAACTGCTCGTTGTATCTTAAAGTATATTCTGGAACATTCCAGGCAAAAACAACAACATCTCCATGGAGAAAAGAAGGTTTGACTCTCCACCTTGCATACTGCCCTTTAAAACTCCTAGGTCCAATTATTTTGCCATGTCTCCATAAAATAAAACAGTCAAATTGCAAAAAAAAAATGAGACAAGAATTTATGTATTCCCTTGACAAGTTGTCATTCTATTTTGTCCCTCCCCGCCTCCCGTCCATCCATCCATCTGTCAGAGCGTGTAACATAGCCTTCTTGTCGATGTCAGCTCCAGATTTTCAGCGTTCCCTCTCATTAATAGTGCACAGGGCTCATTGAGGATTCAGGGCAGATAGAGCGGTCCCACTGAGGAGGAGGAGGACAGGGCAAAGACGGAAGAAACACAAAAAGGAGGGAGGATGTCTGAGAGAGGATGAGAAGGCGAGACATTGGTGGAGGTAAAATCTTTGTAAAAGGTCTGGAGAGTGTCCAGGGGAGGAGGAGAGGAGATTCATCTGAATATAGAGGGATAATGGCTCCCATCGGACACTGCCCATCACAGGCTACCACTTTTAAGAACAGTGGACTACAGACATTTTTCTGTATTAAAGATATGCATTTCTTTTCAGGATCTTATGAACTATTTTTTGATAAACAATCTACCTTTACTCATCTATTTCCAAGGACAAAAGCAAGTTACACCACCACGCCATTTACCTGGTGAAGTGACTCTAGCCTGCTTACAACAAGAATGTATGTTTTTTAAGAGTTTTTTAGGCAATAAAAAACATGTGTAACTGAAATTTGTAAGCAATAATATCTTCATAGAGAGAAGCTAGTGGTGGACCCCTCTCTAGAAAGAAGAAAAGAAACTGCAGCTTTAAAGGTCCTCTCTTGTGACCTTTAAGCTCTGTTAGAATTTTGTATCCTCATCAAAATCACACCTGGAGTTCTGCTTTGTTTCATTCACACATTCACACCCTTTATTATTAGTCTGTCTACATCTGCAAAGCTCAAAATGCTCTGTTCCACGTTGTGATGTCATGAAGCGGTAGTTTTTTTAAATTAACAGCTACTTTTTACCTGCTGTTCAGTAGGGCTGAATGATCTATCGTTTTGGACCGAAAGTTGCGATCTCAAACAACACGATTTTGGGAGCGTCAAAGCTGTGGTTTGTTGCAATGCTCGTAAAGTCCAATTTTTAAGGGTGAAGTATAATTCTGCCTACACCGCCTTGCATCAAGGTCTAAGTGCTGCGAAGTAATTCACCACTACAATGCTAGAAGGCTAGGATTTAAACCTGGCGTTCATGTAAAGTTTAACATAAACCATCTCCAATGCGATTGAAGCACAGAACAGACTCAGCATCAGCAGTACATCCTCTGTCACAGGGAGAACACATAAATTCCACTGAGTCATGTCCTTTAATCCAACAGAAGCTGATCGCATCATCTGTTTTTTTCAGCGCTTATAGTTTATACAAATTTGCCAAGTTTTGTTTCTGTACAACGTGAATAAATGTGCGCCATGGTCCAGCATCAAATCATCGGTTTAGGACTCTGGTATGATGTAAGTTTCTGTGATGTTTGCAAATGTTCATGTGCACTAAAACTTGATTTGAAAAATATCCTGGATGAAACCGAAATCACAATATTTGCCAGAAAAATTGCTATTAAATTTTTTTCTTAAAATCATTCAGCCCTATTGTTCAGTAGAGACTGGCAATTATGGGGCTGAAATTATCCAAATGAAGTGATCTTTTAGTGAAGCATGGAGTTTAAAAACACAGAGGAGCACTTGCTGTATTATCACATGACATTACAAGGTGGAACAGTGCTTTCTGTTTGAGAGAAGAGCACAGCTTAGATATGCAGCATTTGTGTGTTATAGGTGTGAATGAAACAAAACACAGCTCCAGGTTTTGATGGGAAAACAACATTATAACATAGATTGAAAAATAGCATAATATAGGCCCTTTATATAATAATTTATTCTTTGAGAGTGACAGGTCCAATCCCAGTGAAGTATGACCTTTCAGCTGGAGCAGACAGCTTAAAAACAAACTAAAGCTGCAAGAATTGAAAAATTATCTATGGCCTGTATGGGAGCGTTATATTTTTTATTTCTCTTACTCCACCTCTACCCCTTCATCTGCATTTATGCATTCTAAATAATTGTTCACATAAAAGCTTTCCTCTTGTTATGTGAATATTGTCTTGTAAACGGTTTGTGTCACATGCTCATCAGTTACAGAGGGTGGATCTTTTTAACCATGGGAACTTTCACCCTTTGTGGTTTCTTCTGTGTATACCAGTATCGACAGATGCACCTGCACCTTTTATGTGAAATGACTGTAACCTCAAATACTTTGCTAAAGTTCTATTACGCTTCTACTTTACTCAACAGGAAACTCTGCGCCTCAAGACTTAGGCAGCACCAGAGGCAAACAATTCATTCTCATTAATGAGAAAATATAAGAAAATATAAGAAAACTTGAATCCAATCAAATCTAAAAAGTGAAAGTTTTTAAGATCGTATACACTTAAAGATCCCATATATGCTATTTTCTGATCTATGTGTTTCCTCATCATGTACATATTTGGAGTTGTTTTGTTTTTTTCTTTCATTCACACATGTTTAACACACAAACCCTGCAAACTTAGACTGTGTTCATCTTCGACATAAGGAAAACACTCCACTCCACCTTGTGATGTCATGTGTTTTAAACGCCACACACCTTCACTAAAATCATTTGGATGATTTCAGCCCTAGAATTGCCCATCTCTACTGAATTAAAGGTATAAAGTAGCTGTTAACTTGAAAACTACCGCTTCATGACATCATAAGGTGGAACAGTGCATTTTGATGTTTTGGGGATGTATAAAGATTAATAATATATCATTACTATGGAAGATCATTTGTTCCATCAGATGAATTTTAAATACGACTGAATTTCTCACATTTTTTTTAATCTGAAGAAAGATGTGAATTTGAATTGTTGAAATTTTAAGTGTACTTTTTCAATATGTTTCAAAAAAATCACCTTTTGAATATTCAGTATAGATATTTTCAAGCCCTCAAATTCAAAAGTCAAAATTCAGAGTGTAAAATTCATTGTGAAAAATTTCACAACAAAAATTCACGATGCCAAAGCAGAAGCAATCGATCCCGTGTGAGCGAGAAGGACAGAGGCTGTTTCCTATTGGCAGATTTTAAAATTCAAAATCTGATGAAACAAATCATCTTTCATAGTTATTCAGACATGTGGGAATGAAACAAAACACAACTCCAAGTATGTTTCTGATGAGGTAACAACATTGTAACATGACTTAAAGCTCACAATTGATATAATGTAATGTTCTGTAGGACCTTTAAAGAATAATTGTTCATTTGTCATGTTAGAGTTTATTGCCCCCATAGGGAAATTTGCCCTGTGTGTTTGACCCATCCTTCAACCAGCGCCTCAGGGTAACAGTCATGAGCAGCGGGTGACCAAAGTGCAGCGTCCAGAGACCCACCAACAGATCCTGCTAGAGGCCAGATCAGGATTAGTCAACTGTGCATGTTTTGGGCTGTATGCTGTAGCATATTTTCACACATTGTCACCACTAATATAATGCACAATGGTGTTTTTAGTCGACTTCATTCAACAGTGGTTAGGAAGATGTGAGGTGTACATGACTAAGCTTCAGCCCTTCTATTGTAAAACTGCTTTTACAAGACAAAGATAAGAGGCTAAGTTTTATCTTTATTATAGTGTTGGTTAAAAAAAAAAAGAACAATGAGCTGACTGTGAGTGTAGCCCAAAGATTCCCCACACAGACTCTACATTTAAATTGAATAGTGTCTAATGGATTATTTAATACCCCAAAAATGCACTTATGACCACACTTGTTACCACATTTATAATCTTCTTATCAATAGGCTATTTAGCAGCATAAACTCACAAAAGCTCATTGTTGTGTGTTATTATTTTGGTGACAAAAATGTTCCACAATACATCTATCTATCTATCTAGGTTTTTACTGTATTTTTTATTCATAAATACTTTGATAAACATGTGTTCTAACTGTGAGGGAAAGAGGTCTCTACTCTACAGATCTGAGCTGTAACTTGTAACTTGTCGTGGTTGCCTCACCTGATGTTTAATGCCATATTATAGAACATTCTTAGCCAGGCTGGCGCCACCTAGTGCCTCTGCTCAATTTCAATTCTCTCCAGCGACTAGGTCAGGAATCAGAATACACTATACAGTTTGCAAGAACCCGGAAGTGTGAGTTCGGGCACCAGCCAATCAGCAAAGAGCCATATATTCAGTGTTGGCAACGATCGAGGATTTAAATCCGGAACAAAGAGAATGTTTGGTGAATTTTATCAAGGGGAAAGACGTTCTTGCAATTCTTCCTACGAGATTTGGGAGAAGCTTAATATAACAGTTAGCCCCGTTAGTGGCGCATTACATACGTCACAACCAAATAGCAGCGATTGGTTAAATGAAAAAAGTACTCGCCTATTGTTGAGCGAATAAATTCTAACACTCTGAAGTCAGACGATTTCTACAAAGTGAAACCGGCTCATGAATCAGACTAGAACATTAATAATAAAATCATCACTGAGAGAAACAAGTATGCATCCTCCCAAATAAAAGTTACACAAAGCAGCTTTAAGATAATGCATATAAAGTAACTAAATATCTGTACTAGTGATGATAGAATAATGCCACATAAATTTTTTAAAAGCCAATACTTAAACTGGCAAAAAGTTCAAATCACCAAACCTAAACAGTGTACAAGGACTCAGGAACAAAAATATAAGAAATAAGAATTACTCAGTTTCGATAAAAACATCAGATAGAACCTCAGAGCGCTGAGGGGAGAAAATGTATAATCATAACTCATTGTGTTCTATTGTACAGACCTACATCTGAACTAAGCTCATTTATCTATTGACTCTGTTACAGTGTTGACTTAGAATTATTAGTGTCCTTGCATTCCACACTTTCTCAAGACATTGTATTTTCCTGTAGCCATTCACTCACAGGAAGAGGTCAATGCTGCGAACATACAAAGCCAGGAAAGGCCTGCATGAGAAATATGTGATGGTTACACCGACTTAGCCCCATGATGCTTTTTAAGGAGCGTATGTGACCTAAAAGACTCAGAGTTGTGACAGAAGGCATGGCAGGAATTTTTAATGGCATGCCCCCAAGTGTACAGTACAGAACACAGCCCTAGATAGAGTATGTGATCATGTCCAGAAGGCATGCATCTCGCAATATGGTGTAGCAAATGGATGTTTTACGTTTTGTGGCAAGAAAGAAAGAAATCTGTAGTGTATAAAGACTCCAGTCCATAAAATGTATTAACAACACAGACTGATAGTGCAGATGTGTGGTGTGACTGCATATTGTCCAGTTCTACATGCTTTTCTTTGGTCTTTTTAGTTTTTTCTTTCGTTATGTCATGCTATATTAATGCCACTGATCCCTGCTCTGAGCCAAATTTCCCCCACGCGGAGACAGAATAAATGAAAACCTAATCTAACCTAAACCTGCGTAGTTTTTAATATGAAACTGGGCATAGTGCACAGTAAAAATGAAACTATAGACCACGTCAAGATTTTGGTTTAGCCCTAGTGTAACCCGTATCCTGCTGTAGATAATGTTTGATTCTTGTATAATGAAGACTAAATATTTTCTTAAGTGGCAATTGGTGTCAAAAGTTAGACCTTTTAAAACAGTGTTTCCCAAACTTTTTTTCTGGGGACCCACGTTTTAAAAGTCACAAACCTTGGCGACCCAAGTCAACAGATATTATTCGTAAATCACAAAATAAAGGTGGATTTAATCATTATTGAACATTAATGAGGAGATTTTATTGTTGACTGAGTCATTGTGTCTCTCTGAACAATTCGTATTACTCAAGTTTTAAACAATGAAAAACAGTAACTGAACCAGCAATAAAAGTTACCCATAAGTTGCCTATTTGGACATTAATGTAGCCCATTTCTTTTTCTTTTCAACATTCAACTGAACCAGCAATATTGGAACAAAACAGTCAATAAAATAATTACAAAAAGATTAGAAATTATACAAAACATGTCTTAACATTTCAACCTATATGCAGATTGTGATAAGGCAACCCCCCAAAAATTCTCTTGCAACCTTGTTTTTGGGAAACAATGCCTTAAAAGATATGTATAACCACAAACTATACTTTTTGTGAAGCTCTAAGACAATTTTGAGGTTCATAAGGGATTAACACACATTTCTATTCTGGAAATTCAAAACAGTCTGTCAATTTTTGGATTAGCTTCAATCATAATCATAAGAATTTAATTCTCATGTGAATTATTCATTCAAAATGTATTAGAGTCCATTTCATTTCACTTCCTGTCAACTAGATTCTGAAACTTGGAAATTTCTGTGTAGTTTTTTAAAGGGTCTATTTAGAGGACTTGAAAGTAATAATTACACTTTCAACTATTCTCACACAGAATTAAAGAATGATTGCAAGTTAACAGTTTATACAGTTCTGTGGTGACAACTTGATCCTAATGGTTTCCAGCATGAAAGCAATCTGAAAAAGTGCGAGAGAAATTATCCCCTTCACCCAAAACTCCCTGACAAGTCCAAACTCTAAGAATGCTGGCCTGATTTGAATTCTGAAAAGAGATTTTTTGAGTGGTTTATTTTTTAAAAAAGGATCGTAGATGGAAGAGATGATTGGAGTATGGGTCTCCAGCTCTCTAAGGCAGGAAGAAACTTATCTGCTTATCTTCAGAGCCTGTCAAACATCCTGTCAAACGGGCCACGAGAGCACAGAGTCAAAACAACAACACCAGCTATGTTCTTAATACTATTCTCACAACTTCAACAACTTATAAATAAAACTTTCTAGCATATGAGATTTCTATTTAAAGTGGCACCTTACCCTTTCAGTAGGTCAGCTGTCTCCAGTAGCTCATAGTTGTTGCACTTTTGGCATCCAGTTCTGTACAGCTCTGTTCACAAAAGCCAGATCTTGACACAAATCTTCACTTTCTGTTCCTGTTTCCTCGTGTTGTTCTGTTGCCCGTACCTCCCTCTCCTCTCTCTCTCCCTTCTCTCTCCCTCTCTTCTCTCTCTTTCTCTTTCTGTCTCCCCTCCTCTAGTCACAACGTCACCTCTCTCGGCCCACTTAGTCTAAGAATGGGCCCTCTGTGCTCCCAGCGTGGCGCGCCAGATTCTTGTGGTAACACACTCACACATGATGTCAGCCCAAAGGTACACTGCAAAAGAAAAAAAAAACAAAAAACAACAATGCGTCATGGAGTATTTACAGAGTTGTGCGAAATACACATTATCACGTTATCAACAGGTAATGAGGTAAATGACATACACACAAAATACTTCAAAAGGATAAAGAAGTTATATATCAGAAGTGAACTTTTTAACAGACTTATGCAATGGCACAAGCAATGGTAAAGTTGTAGTGCTCAGTGTTTTCAGGGTACAAACCAACAAACCAGATTTCAACTGTAGAGAATGTACAAGAACAAATGGTTTGTTTCATGTAAGTAATAGTATTATTAATGTATGTGATAGCAGTAATAGCAGTAATATTAGTATAGTAGTAGTAGTAGTAGTAGTAGTAGTAGTAGTAGTAGTAATAGTAGTAGTAATAGTTGTTGTTGTTGTAATAGTAGTAGTAGCAGCAGCAGTAGTAGTAGTAGTACAAGAACAAATAGTATGTTTCATGTAAGTAACAGTATTATGATTGTATGTGATAGAAGTAATAGCAGTAGTAGTAGTAGCAGTGACAGCAGTAGTAGTAGTCGTAATAGTAGTAGTATAAGAACAAATAGTATGTTTCATGTACCGGTAAGTAATGGTATTATTATTTTATGTGATAGCAGTAATAGCAGTAGTAGTAGTTGTAAAAGTAGTAGAAGTTTTTTTTTTTTTAGTTATTTTTTTTTATTATAATTGCTAATTATTGTATGCAATAGTAGCATTAGCAATAGTAGTTGTAGTAGTAGTAACTGTTGTTGTAGCAGCAGCAGTAGTAGCATGAGCAGCTGTACTTACAAATAGTAAACACTTACTGTAGCAACATACAATCAGACATAATGATTATTTTTGTAGTTTTTTTTTTTTGCCTCAGTAGACATCTTTAAGTCTCTCATCTACTTCACATTCACCTTTGTCTTAAGTTGAAGAAAATAGTGGAAGTTACAAGTGAGAGCAGGTGAATCTGCAGAGGCCCATGGCGCTTTGGTCCCTGCTGTTTTAGTTCACTCAGGCAGGAAAGCATTTGATTAGAGTCAGAAAGAGGACATGGAGTGTTTCTATGCCCCAGAGGATGGAGGGTATACTGGGGAAGTGTTCAGACTTGTAGCCTTGTAGGTACGCACGTGTGGGACTGTGTACTTAAAACACACTGTACTAAAATGCATGGCCTCGAAACATCTGTACTGTACTGTAGTGAAAGTGAGCTGACGTGAGTACTGGGAGTTACCTCACGGGTGAAAGAGGATCTTGAAATACTCACAACAACAAAATATCAGACAAGTAAGAGCCAAAAAAAAAAAAAAAAAAACCCAAAAAACCATACCAAATCTAACGTGATCTTTCCACCATATCAGGGTGGAGGTGAAGTGGAAATATTCAAGCAACAGCCCTTCAAAGAACATGAACAGAAAAAAAATAGATTGCTTTAACTGTCTTGTTCGTGTGGGAATATTCAAGATCCAAAACACCAAGACAAATTAAATCCACCGCTAGTTTATAATTTGTCAGGGCATTTAAACTTAACTTACGTAAACTTAACAAGCATTTACAAGTAGGTGTATTTTTATCAGAATTTATATTAAAACATCTTTTCCTTTTCCCATTCCCATTTTTATACTCAGGTAAAAGTCATTCTCTAGTAGAAGTTTGGCCTGGAGCCCATTAAAAAAATGATCTTGTGTGGGCTGGTGGACTTCTGACCCGTGTTCTGCTGTGTTTCTCTCTGCCGCGGGGCATGGTTACTTCAAAATTGATGAGACAAGCCTCACCGTGTCTGCAGGTGTGTTCAAGGAGCATTGGACAAATCGCTAGCATCCGCCCACTATGACACACGGTCCCACAGGAAGTTGCTGTAAACGGGCGGGGAGAATACACATAGAATATATCTGTCTCTCATTATAGTCGCAAGTCAACTCCTGCAGTGATGAATGGCCTCTGAGTGAAGCAGCATCCCTCCTCAATGAAAACTGCACCTACGGGTTATGATATATGATTGGAAACGCTGAAGGGACTGTTATGAAATTAGACTTAAAATGGAGAGGGAGACCATAAAGGGCATCATAAAGAAAGTTATTTTATTGGCACTCGTACTGAATGCTAAGAGAAGTTTTACATTGTTACATTTTAAACACAATGATAGATGAAAAGATAATTTATGTTTTATTATTATTTATGTATTTATTTATTATACAGATGGATATCAGTCTGGTCACCAAACAAAATCTAACTAAATTCATCACCAGCAAAGTTCTGAATCTGAATGTCTTTTCTGTCCCTTATGATATTACACTATTCTTTTCTTTCTTTTTTCTCAATAAGCAGCCATATTTTGTTTTAATACAGAAATACCATGAATGTTAATCCACTTGTTAGTCATGCTCTATATAATATCTAAGCTTGTAAAAGATTGTTCATTGTAATAGAATATGCATATTTACATACAGTATAAAAAGGGCTTCAACTCAAAGAAAAATGTCATAAGAAAACAAGAGTGTCAAACTCAAACTGACAGAAGGTCGAAATTAAAAACTGGGACTAAGTTGTGGGCCAAACTAAATATTTATTGAAAAATTTCAACAACATCTGCATGTTTTCTCTTCTTTCGAGATATGTAATGTTAAACCTTTTCTTATTAAAATACATGTTTAATAATAGTTTTACTTAAACATTGAATCCAAAACAAACATCATATAAAAAAAACCCACAAAATTTTAAATAAATAATGTCTCTATAGCCTATCTGTAGCCAGTGGGGCAGCTCTAATACGTATTTGATATGATCTCACTGGCCAAATATAATTATATCATAGGCCAAATTTGGATCCCGGGCCTGAGTTTGACATATCTGGTCTAAAAGATAAATTAGCAAATGTATAACCTGATCATTTCTATGACTAGTGACTAGGCCCTTGAACTTGGTACATCACAAATCATCATATTCATTTTATCTACCCCTCTTCCCCATTTCTATATGTGACATTGTCTGAAACCCAACATTTCATCCCCACAAATAGAAGCTACTCCTATTGTTTTAATGTATTTTACAATAACTGATCTATTAGTAAATGTTCCTCATGTTGAGCCAAGCTGCCCTGCCCCAAGTGTACAACGTCCCACTTCCTCTTGTGTAACCCAACTCTCCACAAGTCCTCCTGTGGGCCATAATGAGTGTATTTCCATAGAGAGCTTATTGAGTTCACCTCAGACTGAGACAATGCAGCCCTTTATTCTGCCCAGGCCTGCATTTGGACAAATTGCAGGAAAGACCCACAGGCTCACTCCGGATCACTGATCACACAATCGTCGTGGAAACAGGGAGGGAGACATTGCAAAGTTGCATTGGATTACCAAGGAGTAGAACAAATGACTATAACCTCTGAACCCTAGCAGATGGTTGAAAAACACAAGAATATAAGAGAAATCAATAGCAGATAAAAGCAGATAACTCTCCATAGTGATATGATTAGCCAAGTATTTTCTGTAGTATGGCATTAGGCTTATCTATTGTTCATTTGTTCAACTACATAACCTCATTCATTCTTACTGTGAACAGGCTCGCCTCTCCACCAGCGGCGTCACTTGTCTGTCTCCATCAAAATAAATAAGCTTAATGCATTTTGGAACATTCCAGGCAAAGCAATCACATCTCCGTGGAGACAAGCAGTTGGCTGACTCTCCACCAAAAAAAAGTGACATCTTTCATCTTTAATTTACTGGTACATTTACTATGGTATTTGTGAGTAGGTCGATGGTACCATTCATTTGCTTTAGTACCTGTCCATTGGTTTCACAAAGATGGAAAACTAGGACTGTGGCTATAGCAATGAACAATTTAAAACAAATATATCTTTCAAATGGGAAAAAGTCCTAAAAATGTCAGAGATAAAAGGAACTTAAAACCCATGACTAGTTTAAATATTATTAGACTAAAATCCTAACAATTCTGTAATTACTCCAAAAGTTTTTCATATTTTCCCCTTGATCAAAACAAATCATTTCCATATTATAGTGCAATTCTTTGGGATATTTGTTGCTACCTTTAAATGTAGTCTTGAAGTAATCCAGATGATTTCAAATGACCATAGCCTCATAGCCCTGGCAGATGGTTGAGAGACAGACATTAATAATTGCAGCCAGCAGGCCTATGTAAGCGTGTGGCGTAGCTTTTTGAATGGGGGCGATAATGAAAAGTGACTAAAGTGCTGCTATAGTGGAATCTGACAACTGTCCAGAAATAGCCCCCTAATAAAACTCCAGTCCCCCTGAGACAGATCTATGCTATGATTCAGCCCTGTTAAATGTTTGGCCCACTTAAGTACAGTTAAAACAAAACAGTCTGGTCGTCCATATAAGGAAATACTGCTCAGTTTGGCTTCCATAGACAAGCCATCAATCTGTGGAGCTATTAGTTGGCATGTAAACTGTAGGCTTTTAACTGGGCCTGGTACTGCGATGTTTTAACTTCCAGTGATGTCAGATGTTTCAATAAGCTCAGAACTTCACCTTTTAAAGTTATAGAGGTACATTTTGTTTTGGTTTTGTAGTAGAAACAAAAAATACAGTAATGGAACTTAAAGCGTCTTATTTTATCACTCGGGGATTTCTCAGTTCCTCTTTACAAAAAAGGAGTATTGCCACATAAGGGGAAGTCTACTGCAAGGCTGTCGGGGTCAGAATGAGGTACCTAACCTTGTTTAACATACCGGGTACACCAAATAGCATATGACTTGTGCTGTTTTAAGGTTTGTATATCTACACTGATCTATAATGGAGAAAAAAAAACAAAAACGACTTATTTTGGTTGCAAACTCCCTCTAGACTGACATGGCACGAAGGGATATTGCCCTATGAGATGCTCTACTCCCCTGTGAGATGTATATAGTAATAAGCAGCTAAAGGGATACCCCAGT